ATCATCGGCGCGCGCCACCTAGCGGCGGCAGCCCGCACTCGCACCCGCACCCGCAAAAGTTCCGCCCACAAGTTCGCAACCAGAAGTTTTTATTTCGAAAATAAACTCATTTTAAATACTTTTGCCAACAATTTGCCATAATTTGGCTCATTTCCTACAACACACGACGCTGCCAGCTTTGTCACCAGTGGTGGGGATTCGGTGGGTTAAAAGGGGGGTGGAATGGAGCGGGGCGAGGGGGTTAAAGCGGTGACTACTGCAAACTTTTGCGTGTGCTGTGCCAGGGGGCGTGGCAGAGCCACCACTCCGCCCCCTTTTGTTGCTTGCACATTTTGGCATTGTGTGTTAAGTTCTTAAGCGCTGCCAAAAACTTGAGCCCGTGCAGGCAACCCTAAGGCGGCAGCCCCAGAAATGCCACGCCCCCCTTCCACGACGCCCGTCGCACATAAAATAGTTAAAATGCGACAGTGGCGAGTGGGGCAGAACCGACTCAGAAGAGACCCTCTAAAGAGGGGGAAATATTAAGAAATATATTGATTATTAAAAAATTATTTTTGTTTTAAAATACTTATGTTATTCGGTGTTTTTATAATTTTGTAAATAGTAAAGTCCTTACAAAAACTTGGTATTAGTTTACTTTCGATAGAATTTCTTTACATAAATGAGATTAGGTGGCTACCCTGGCCAAAAATCCATAGATTTCACTTGCGAATTCCTTATTTATTAGTCAAATTTTTAGTCAGGTGAACTTGGGAAGATATAGGTGAATTTATTACCGCTTTTTCCAGGGTATCCAGGGCACAAAAAGTGCCGCCTATGCAGTTATAACAAGGTGGGTGGCAAGACGATTGGGCGGCGGTGCAGTTGCTACTTTATTACAGGGCAAAAACCGAGTCCGGCGGAAGGAGCAGGAAGAGACATCTCATTCTTGTCTAAGGCCCCGTCGTTTTTTGGCCTGTTTGCATAATTTCCCAAAGAGAAGCAACAATTGGGGGTGGCAAGGGGTTAAGCAGGAGCAAGAGTGGGTTAAGGACAGTGAAAGAAAAAAATGTAACGGGCAGATTGTTTATAAATATTTTTATGAATTAATTTTTGGTAATTATGTAAGTTATATTTTCTTCTTTATAAAAAATCTCCTTAAAATTGATTGACGCCTTAATATTATTTAGATAATATTTTTCCCAAACCTAAATTTTCATAAAAATATACAAATATTCTTTTCTCTGCAGTTGACTGGGTCTGGCTTGTATATATATTGAACCATCTATCCAGCAGACACAAGGGTTTACTTCGGAAGAAGTTAGGAGGCCAAGTTGAAAGGAAAAAGGGACAAAGAGGAGCAGGAAACAAAACGCAGGATAAGGGTGGCGATGGAGAGGGGGAGGGAGTGCCACACAATGGACTCCCTTATGTCTTCAAAAATTACATTTTAAGTTCTGAAATTACAATACAAAATTGAAATATCTTATTTCAGCGCTGCAGTTGGAGGCAATTTTTCATGCGTATAAAGGGGGAAGGACGCAGGACGAAGGACGAGAAGCTAACGAGCCGCATGGCAGACAAAACTTTGCTGAATTTATCAACGAGTGTGTGTATCTGTATCTTTTGCATTTATGAAAATGTAATAATAACAAAAGACGCAATGCAGACGCGGCAGAAGTAAACTGGAAACAAACACAGGACCTTCAGGAGGAAAGCGAAGGAGCGGCAACCAGGATGTGCGGCATATGTGTGCGTGGCAACCCTAGACAAACATATGGCTCACCGAATGCACAATGTATCTGCATCCGCAACTGCATTGGTATCTCTTTCTGTTGCCGTTGCTGTCTCTGTGTCTCCGTGTCTCCAGCTCGCAAACTTCTGCCAACGAAATTTGCAACTTAAAAAATTTGTCAAAACAAATTATCATAAAATGCTCATCAGTCGGCGGAAAATAAAACAATGGAAAGGAAAGTATCTTGGGCAGGCCAAACAAAAAGAGCAATTAAGCCCGTGCGTGTGAGATGAAAAATCCCGTGGAAAAAATCAATGAAAATATAAACGTCAGATCCAAATGATATTTTATTAGAAAACAAATTACTTTGCTCCTTGCTTATCTTGTCTAATTGGGCAATTTAATTATACTTATTTAACACAAACAAATTTTAAACAATTAAACATACCTTGTTAATTAAAAAACAAATATGTAAATCATCTTCTAAAAACATTTTTTAAGAGTGCAAAATTCAATAGGTATTTAATCAAGGCCAAAGCTAACAGATTAATCATTTTAATATAATAGATAATCCATAAAATGTTCAAAAGTTATTTTTGGAATTATTTAAAAACGTAGAAACTGATGTTTTAAATCAGAAAACAAAGACTAACAATTTCTTGGTGGTTTTCAATTGAAATTTATTCAAATATAGTTAATTTAAGAATGTTTACCAATTATTAAAAAATAATGGCATTGAATTAAAATTTCTTATGTTCAGGATTTAAGTAAAATCGAATAAGTAGTGAAGACTATTATTTCCAAAAAGTATTTAGCAAACTAGCGAAAAGCTTAAGGCCTTTGAATGCAGTCCAACATGAGCATTACTTAGAAATTAGAAATTCTAGTTTAAGGCATTAGGTGGGAATGTAATTAAATTGAACTTGCCCTGAAAGGGAAAGCACTCAGAGCGCAGCACCAAAGTGAATTCAAATAAACCCGTGTGTGTGGGACGTTTACCTCTGCTTCCTGCTCCACCTCCTCCTCCTGAATATGTATATATACATATGTATATGGGTGTAATATATGGTCCCCCCTCGAAAGCAAATGGAACTCCAATTAGCAGCACAAATCAAAGTCAGACAGTTACGTTGGAAGGACAAGTGGCATCAAGAACATCGGGAAATGAAACCAAGCCAAAAATAAAATATAAAAATACAAATACTAAAAAAGTTACAAAAAGTTAAAGCCGCGTGTCCAGAAAAGTTGCGGGCATTAAATTGATAGAAAAAAAGAGGGGCAGAAATGGAAATGGAAGGGGTACTTTTGAGAGTTTTGCTGCGATATTTTGCCTTTGATAGAAAAACAATTTTTCTACTCCATTTCACGCGTTCAAGGCAGAACCATAAAAGCTGGCCAGAAAGAGAGGGGGAGCTCGGTGGGACAGAGAGGGGTATATGGGGGTATTTCGGGGGAATGGGAATCGTCAGCGTAAAGATGCCGCCAGACCGATAAACGCTAGAAATGAAATAACAATAAAAACCAATTTTTTATATCGAACACCAAACTGAAGTTCAGCCCCCTCTTTTTCCCGCTCCCCCTTCCCCACACACATACAAACTCGCTTTTCTCTTTCCCTTTGGCGAAAGTTGGTGTGTGTGTGTTGACCCAATTTACTTTGGCCTTGTTGTTGTTACCGTTCACTGGTTTCTTGCAGTGTACAAATTTCGATTCGCAAACAAAATAGCAGGCAGAAAATATACGGCTCACCATTGGCCACTGCGATTTTAAGTTAGGGATGCGTAAAACGATCGATAAGAAAGCTAAACTAATTTTCATAAATGTACTTACGTTTTGAAACAACAAATTAAATAATAAATACAATTATTAAATGAAAAAATTGTATAAAATCAGTTTTTTAGAATATAATAATAAACCAAAAAATTATTAAAAAATATTACGACCCTTGTTTCTGTCTGAGATATTTAATAATACTTTATATTTGTTAAACGATATTTAGTACATATATTTTAAATAAATATTTCTTTATATCTAAAAAAGTACCCCCTGTCGCAGGTGTAAGTCCCATTGTTTTGCCTGTCATTAGCAACTCAATTAATTCATAAAGGGAAGCTGAGGCTGCCCACCCGAAATATACAGATGTATCTACAAGTTCATTAGCTAGAACCTGCTGGCTTAATTTTATTCCACACACTCGCACACTTTGTTCTGGGGACGGGTTTTTGCCAGCCCCTTCTGCCCGAAAAGAGCGCTAAAAACTTTTGTCAATAAAAGAAAACATTAACAAATAAAGAAAAAAGAAGAGTTAAGACGGGTTTTTTGTTGATGCTTCTATTTGTTTGCCTGTTTGCTGACCAAATGTGGAGGCTGCTGTTATTTTTTTGCCCAAAAGGGGGGTGGCAGATGTCCAAAAAAGGGGCAAGAGGGGCGGAAAACGTGGCGCCCAGCGAATGGACTCCAATTGACCTACAGCGCGTTCATTTGAAGTTCAAAACTTGACCATGAAGTGGCAGATGCTCGGCGGAAATCAAAACCGAAACTATGAGACGGGGATTCATCCGAATAGCCACTTGTGCCGAGGTCGATGATGGGAATTACCCAGAAAAATTAGAGTCATTCAGAAGATTTTAGCAAACACATTTTTACGGTTTATTTATGGGGTGTTTAAAGCGAGATTTGTTATCAAAAAAAAATTAAATTATAAATTATGTTTATATAAGGAAACTATTATACCCTTAAAATAATATAAGGGTGTGTTTTTTTTTTGAGCTCGTAAGGTAAAAAGTGGTAGTTACGCAAAATTTTTGAAAAAAAGAAAAATATAAAAAAAAATAATTTTAAAAATAATAATATTAAATTTTAAACATTTTTCCAAGCTTTTTAAATTATTTATTTATTTCAACAGATGGCCTGGGTTTCACAGGTGGGCTTTCTCTGTTCGAATGGAGAGTCTTTTTAAGTAATTCAAATATATGCCCGGATAATCAACAAGCCTTTCTCTCCATGCCAAAAATCCCCGGCGATAGAGATAGAGAAAACGCTCTAATGATGCGGGGAAGCCTCCAAAAAAATTACCAATTCGAACTTGTGATCGAGACAGGAAAAAACCAACATCGAAAAGTGATCAGTGTTCGGTTATTGTGTTCCCCCCTCCCAAACGAGTTAAACGTGAATTTTGTTTATCTATTTTCGGGGGTCTGTCGCATCGAACAATGGCCATTTTGACGGCTGGACGTCAAGTCGGGCGTTAATTATTGATTAGTTTAAAGCCCGATTAACAAACCGGCAACGGGCTTAGAACGAAACGGAACGTCCGACGCCCAACAACTTCCATCGCGCTCTCCGAAAAACGCGTTAAAAACAAGAAAAATCAAGAGAGGTACACGGAGAAAAATAACAAAGTGTTATATATATTTTTTTTTCATGTGACTAAACGAATATACTATTTTGTTTTTTAATTCGTCATAAAAAAAATTGGGATTATCCCTAAATAAATGTCAAAAGCTTTAAAGAAAAAATGCAACTTAAATGCCTTTTAGTTATGCATTTAAATAAATTGTTCTGCATTTTAAAATAATTCAAATAAATAATATTATGCGACTCATTAAATATTTATTAAATTTAATGAAAGTTCAAGAGTGATTCGGTTTTTTTTTAAATTAAATGAAAATTCGAATAAGTTTAAGAGTATTTCAAATTCAATTAGAAATAAAAGATGACAATATAAAACTAAAATTATTTTAAAGCATCAACAATTTTTCGAAGTTCTTAAAATAAAATAAAATATCTTTTTTTTGGGAGAATAGATATTTTTTTTATCGATATAGATCACCATACATCTATATGGAGTGAATAGCTTTTTTCAGTGTAGCCAGAGAGGAAGAGTTGTAGAGAAGAACCGGCGGAACAACAAACTGAACAGCGACACGGCGAAAAAAAAACACGGCGGAGAAACAATAAAAGTCGGCCAGCGGCCAAAAACGCGCTCATTGCGTGCGCTGTTTTCGCAACGGCAACGGAAAATTAGCCACCCAGTTGAGGTGCGAGCGAGATAGCCAGCTAGCGAGTGTAGTACGGCAACGGAATACGGATTTTCCGAGTGACGGGAAAAGTACGGAAAAGCAGAGGACAGGAGCACGGAACACAGAGTGCGGATACGAAGCCAGGATGCGACACGCATTTGTTGGATTAATTGTGTGCTGGCTGGCAGTTTGTCAACCGCAAGGTAAATATTTTTGGAATACGCCACGGCATTTGCCGGGAATCGGGCATAGACAGGATAATGACAGGATATATACCCCCACGCACACACACACACACAATGACACAGACACACACTCGCACACAATCACACACACGGCCTTTGTTATTACAGTAATAATTGCAAAATTATCGCTGGATTTTGCGCCTACGTGCGTTGCATTGTCAACAGAAAAAACATAGGAAAGCCTTCCTTAGCGAACGGCGAAAGAGACGGCAATACGGGAAAAATAAGAGATAGCTGATAAAGAGATGGCATCTAAGGCCCAAAGGTTTATTCATGTTCTAAGCGCCTTTTGGGCCAAATTACCGGGTAGACTCTGCGCTTTCGATGATCAGTTTAATATGTTTATAATTTTACAATTAAAAGCTTAATGGCTTACAAGTTTTTTAATATATTATTCCATCATTTAAAGACCAAAAAATTAATATTTTAAAGGTTTCTTTTAATAAGAGGCAATAATAGATACATTTTTAGAATTTATATTTATGCAAAGATAAAAATTACAAATGAATTAAAATAAAAAAGCCCAAATTAAAAAGAGATGCCAATATCAGTTTAATTTTTTTCTAGTTATTACGCTTAAATTTAAATATTTCAAGTTTTATAGCTGACAAGTTTTCAGTATTTTAGTCCATCACTTAAAGACAACAATATATTTTTCAGAATTTAAATTTATGAACAAGTAGGGATTACAAAAATATTATAATAATGAAGCTCGAAAAAGAAAGAGACGCCAATATTCTCCTCCATTTGTTTCTGCCGATACCCGTTTGCTAAATTTTTTTAGCATCAACACCATCTTTTGAGATAAACATTCGAAAACCAGTTAGAGATCTTTCCAGCTTTCATCTCTTTCCCGCAGCCAGCCATCTCTTTCGTTTCTGTGCAATCTAACAATCTAACAGTCTAACAATAAAAACAAAAAAAGTAAAACGAACAATAGCCAAAAAGTGTAAGGGAATCAAGTAGAATGGAATAAAATGTGTGGAACAAGTTTTGCGAAAAGATTATAAATGCATGCCGCTGGGGGATTTGTGTTTACTTTTGACTGCTGTCAGGGCAACTTGCGGAACTTTCCACTGATGTTTGTTACCACTTTTTTACGCTCGCTTAAGTTGCAAGCAAAAACGTTGAAATGTCTTTTGCACCGACTGAATCGCAGGGAGCCCGAAAACCGATTACCCTCTGATGGATTTATTTTAAATTTGCATGCCAGTGCGAGGCAAAGTGCCTTATGAAAATTATACTTTGGTCATAAATTTGGTATAAATAACATTTATTTTAATATTATGTTTTTAGTCCAAAGCTGAGTCGTGGTAGAGACAACATGGCGTATGAGCGTTGAATATTACGTATACGCAGAGTGGGAAGAAAAAATATAAGAATTTGCATTTTTTCAGTATCTGTTTTCAGGAAAATATTAAAATAATTGCGAAAAATCATTTTAATTTACACAAATCAGGGACTTTAAAATGTATATTCCGAACTTTATTTAATATATTTATACACTGAAAAATAAATGGAGTACTGAAAACAAAAATTCGAATTACATATGGGCATTTCCAGGATGTCGGACGTATTCTCAATCTTATTTTTAAAACTGCCACGTCCGACATCCCGGTAATGCCCTTATTTAAGTTAAACACAAAAACGTAACAATTAAGGCAAAACAAATTAAATTACATTTGAATAATTAAACAAAAAAATGTAACCCTTAACTTTATTCAAATACAACGTTTCATATTAATATCAAAGTATTAAAATCTTTAAGTTAACTAAAAGTGTTAAATTACATATTTCCAAGCAAAGAAAATATAAATTTAATATGAAATTTTTGGATTCACTACTTTTATTTTATCATATACATTTTATTGCTATTATTTTAGTGCTCTGCTGCTTTTGCTAAGCTAGCCGAAAAAAAAATGTTTTAAATTCGTATAAATATATATTTTAATTTTACATATTTTCTTAACCATTTTTTCAGCTGAGGCGCAGTTCGGAGGCTTTGGGTTCCAGCCGCAGTTCCAGCCGCAGTACCAGCCGCAGGTATATCGGCAACCGCAGGTGTACCGCCAACCGCAGGCTTACCAAGCTCAACCACAACCTCTGGTTTATTACCAACAGCCCCAGCAGGTCTACCAGCAGCCCCGCCAGCGACAGGGATCCGTCTCGAAGGCCAACACGAATGCCTACGAGCGGCAGGTGGACTTCGGGAACAATCTGGAGTACACGCAGGGCCTCTCGAACTCGCGGGCGGTGACCAAGCAGAATGGGCAGCGCGTGGTGACCAAGAGCCAGGCGCAGACGAGGGACGTGGACCTGGGCGGCCTGCAGCTGGGCAACACGCTGACCCGCACGCGGACCAATGCCAACGGGCAGGTGTCCCAGGGCATCGCCGATCAGTTCAGGATCGGAAATGTCGGACTGGGCGCCTCCCTGTCGCCGCAGAACCTGCAGAACGGCTTCGGCCTGCAGCGCGGCGCCGACGGTGACCTCCGCTTGGGCCTGGGCCTCCTCAATCTCGACCTGGACCGCAATGTGGCCAACTCGAACACGCTGTCGCAGGCCCAGGTGAATGCCCAGGGCAAGGGCGCCAAGGCGGGATCGAGCAGCAATTCGCAGTCGAATACCCAGCAGTACGGCGGAGTCACCGTTACGGATACGCGCTCCAACTCGAATGCCTTTGGCAAGACGCGCAGGGGCCAGACCTCGGCCACCACGGGAGGATTCGGAGGCAGTGCGGCCACCAATGGCCAGACCTTCGGCGCCGCTCCCTTCCAGCGGGTGGTGCGCCAGAACAGGCCGCGGCCCAAGAGGCGGGCCCAGTTCGTGCCCTTCGGCTATCCGGGAGGCGGCTTCGGTCCCGCCCCCGGACCCTTCGGCCTGGGACCCTTGGACAGGCCAAGGAGGCAGTTCGGCGGTGGCTTTGGCGGCTTCGGTGGCTTCGGAGGAGGTGAGTCTATTTGTTGTCATTATAAAACATTACTATTATTATTAAGAAAACTTAATAAAATATTCAGTGGCTTAAGTATTAACATTCCGATCTATAGAATTTACAATTTATTATTTTAAAAACTTTTACCTACATTTGGATTCAAATAATTTTCTTATTTTTACTGAGTAAAAAATTTTATAAAATTTAGTTCGAAGTTTTCTTTTTATTTATTAATTAAATTCCAAAAAATTAAATTCGAAATCTAAAAATATGTATCTCCAGTACTTATACAACGAACATCTTTTTTTTTTTTTAAAGCTATAGGAGTCCGAACAAGCGACTTAAAAACTAGCTGAATTATAATAACATAACATGGGTATAAATATATCTATATTTATATATATTTATTTATATATTTCTATTAATTTCACAAACATATTTACTGTCCACTTAATTATATAAACAAGAATATATAGTTTAGGTGAACAAAATATATTAAATACACAGACAAAAAATTACGGATTGAGCTTTGGTTATAACTGAAATAAGTTAGTTAGTTAGAGCCATTAAAAATATGGATATTTATATGTAAAACATATATTTACCCAAAATTAAAAGCTTTCAAAAACATACTTAGTTTCGAAAAAATTTTTTAAATTTATTTTCTAATTTTTTGCTTAATATTTAAAATTTTTAAAATCAGGAGTTATGTTTATTAACGCCATTAGTAAGCTAAAAATACAATTATTTAACGAAAACTTTGATTTATTTTATGTAGAAAAGACAACAGTCGTATTAAAAATGGTTTTTAAAAATGTTGCTCATACGCACTGTGGGCCCTGGATTTTCTGAACTTTACTGTCGAACTTCTACACCACGTCGGCTTCTTAAAAATTCTATGCTCACCAATACTATAATTATTTTTCAACCCACTTAGGCCCGCAATTCGGGGGAGGACCACAATTCGGAGGCGGTGGCTTCGGAGGACCCGAGTTCTACGAGCAGCCCCAGCAGCAGCAGCAGCAGCACAAGAAGAAGGGCAACAAGAACCAGGCGCATGGCAATGCGAATGCCCAGGGCGGACCGGGCTTCAACCAGCAGGCGTCGACGAACAACCACGCGAGTCCCGGCAACACGGGCAGCAGCTCGATCAGCTCCAATTTGGCCCAGGACGGCAGCAGCGGGCAGGTGAGCTCGGCCAACACGAACACCCACCAGGGGCAGACGGCCAACGGGGGCTACGAAAGTGATCAGAACTCGCAGAGCCAGGCCCTCAACTTCCGGCCCGGCGAGCAGCAGGCCTCCAGTGCGAATGCCAACACCCAGCACACCCAGCAGGGCGACCGGGATGCCTACTCCTCGAACAGCGGCTCCACCTCCACGAACAACAACCAGTTTGGCTCCGCCACCAACACCGCGAACACCAATTCGCAGGTGGTCAAGGAGGGCAATCGCCAGGATGCGACCAGTGATGCCAACAGCCAGAGCATCTTCCAGGGCAACAACGGCCAGGGAGACGCCTCCGCCCAGACGAACGCCCAGACGAGCAGCCAGCGGGGTCCCAATGGATTCGTGAGCAACTCGGCCTCCAGCAGCGCCACCGCCACCGCCCAGAACGGCCAGTCGGCCAATGCGAACGCGAATGCGAATGCGGGCGGTGGTGCCGGTGGTGCGGGAGCCGGCGCAAATGCCGGTGGCTTCGGCGGTGGTGCAGGTTCCGATGCCAATGCATCCGGTGGATTCGGAGGCAACGGTGGTGGTGCCGGGGCAAATGCCGGCGGCTTCGGTGGCTTCGGCGGCGGCGGCGGCGCCAATGCCAATAGCAACGCCTTTGGCGGCTTCGGCGGCTTCGGCTTCTACGGACGTTAGTTTTACACATTAGTTTTCCCACCAACCCACAACCCTTTTTTTTGTCACCCACGAAAAGCACGAGAATAAATATGCATTTTGTTAATTTAAAACACGCACTCTGAGCACCAAGTCATTTTATTTCCCTACTTGTTTGCACCGAAAAGTTAGTGGCTTTCTTTAAAGATAACCCAAAATGTTTCTAGTTAGTTTGGACATGAAAAGGATCAGTTTGATATTCATTTATAAAACATTTATTTTGATTTAAAAATAAATTTAAAAATGTATACTCGAAAATATTTACAAAAAGTATTAAATTTTAATTTGAAACATCTGTATCACTTATTAACAAGTACATTTATTATTACCTTTTTAAATACCTATATTTTTTTTTAATATTTATTTATATGTTTTAAATACATTTATATTTTTTTAAAAAACATTTATATATACTTTAAAATATATTTATAGATTTTAAAAATACTTTTTAATTTTTTTTGATATACAAAATAATTTTCTTTAAAATACATATTTTTTTTAAATGATTTTTGTTTTGTATGCCTAATATGAGATGTAAAATTCGAAATCTAAAAAATATCTTTATAGAGAGCTTTCTGTGCGTAACTTTTGCAAGATATTCAACTCACTCTTTAATTAGGTTCTCAATGGAAAAGTAAGCACATAGTTCGGATTAATGGAGTGTAGCACAAGAGTCACATTACTTTTAATATTATTATGCTAAATAATACATATTTAAACCCCTAGTTCGCCATCGAGCCCAGCAACAGATTCGCTTGCAGCGCTGGCAGCCACGCCCCCAAAACGGCACTTCATCCCGGAGCTCGTCTACCTCATCCACCTCCTCCTCGATAAACGATAACTTTGAGTACGTGTACTTCAACCACTCGTCTTCGTCACGCCTTGAAGATCTGCAGCCCGGGAGTTCTGGCCAGGATCGGGATGGGAATGGAATGGGTAGGGTGCCGCTGAACACCTCGGTGGATGTGGATGCCTTCGGGCCGTACGATAGAACCCAGCGTCAGGGGCGGACCTTCGGTTTGATCTACGACTGGATCAGTGGCCTCTTCAACTCCTGCGTTTCGCCCTGCACCCTGGAGGCCTTCCAGAAGCAAACCTGCTGCGAAACGTATGTGGTGGATCCCTCGTACCCCCTTCCTCCTCCTCCTCCGCCACCCCCTCCGCCACCACAAAGCTGCTGTGCTCCTGTGAGACCACCCTACCCCTCTCCACCCAGACCACTGCCCCCTCCTCCTCCACCGCCACCCATGGCCTACCCCTATCCACCCATTTATCCCAATAAGAATACGCCCGTGATGGTGGTGGCCACGCCCATCAACTGCTGCACCGTGTGCACATTCACCTACTACGGACCTCCGCCCTGTGGGCGGCTCTACAACAACAACACCAGCAGCGGGGATGGCAAGAAGGTCATCTATGTGCCACCACCCTATTACGGCCGCTAAAAGCACCAGCTAACCATAGTTATAAGTCTTTTTTTTTCGACAACCAAAAATAAATAAAAAAAAGTAATGATCTGGATTCTGTGTTTCTTTCATAAGGCAAAACTTAAATTTGTTAACATTTTTTATATAAAAACTAAAAAACCATTAAAATGCGTAAGCAAACACAAATTTTTAAAATCAATTACATTATATTGGTCGCATAAAACGTAAAATAAAAATCTAAAAATTTACTTATATCGATAAAGTGTGAAATATATTTACAAAGCTTGGTATGAGCTTCTGTCTTGGTCGGATATTTGGCTGTTTTGAAATCCAATGGAAACTTAAGAAAGAAATTCATTCGTATTATAGGCAACTATAGTTGCATATTAATTTCTCTACTTTTAGGCTCTTTAAAAATAGTGATTAAAGGCTTCCAACATTCGGGAATGCCCTACATCGGGTGTAATTAATATTTTTCATTACGAGGAAATAATGATTTCCTAAAATAGAGGACAACACAGGGAATTTTTAAAGTTTAAAACGGAAGTCCTTTGAGTGTGGCAATATTTTTACCGTATGTCTGTCCCACGAGGTTTTGTCCCTTTGTTTTGTTTGTTCTTCGCCTGGCTAATTCGGAAAACGCTTGCATAATCTCCGTGGGGGGAGGGGGGCTTTGTTGCTTGGGGGAATCCTGTCAAAAATGCGGCAAATAAGACACACGACAGGGAAAACGAGAGGGGAGCGGGGTATATAGGTAGCTGCATGGGCAAAGAAGTAGAGTTTTGATACCCTTACCGAGATATAAATGATCGTTAAGTTTTCCGCAAAAAATATGTATGAAAATAGGTAAATAATAAGGGGTATTTTTAAAGAAAAGGGTTCTTAATATTTTGGAAATTTTATATAATAAAATAAAAACAAACAAATAAATAAATAAAGAAATAAAGAAATAATGAAACAAAGAAATAAAGAAATAAAGAAATAAAGAAATAAAGAAATAAAGAAATAAAGAAATAAAGAAATAAAGAAATAAAGAAATAAAGAAATAAAGAAATAAAGAAATAAAGAAATAAAGAAATAAAGAAATAAAGAAATAAAGAAATAAAGAAATAAAGAAATAAAGAAATAAAGAAATAAAGAAATAAAGAAATAAAGAAATAAAGAAATAAAGAAATAAGAAATAAAGAAATACAGAAATAAAGAAAGAAAGAAATGAAGAATACAAATAAATAAATAAATACATACACAAATAAATATATAAATAAATAAATAAACAAACAAATAAATAAATAAACAATGTATAAACTTAAATCACTTTTGTGTTAGAAACATATTTTTGCATATTTTTAGACACCTATATTTATTTTAAAATCCAGAGCTATTAATTTCTGTGAACAATTGGAGATCCTCCGAAGGACATTCCTCATTCGTGGTCGCAACTCGAAAATGGCAGGTTAACGTGTCCCATCTTTCTGTCGCTTTTGTTGTGCGGCTGCCTTTCTTTGGGCCTCTTGTGCCGTTGACTTTTGCGCCTAAGCAAAATTTGTGCCATGTGTTTTGTGGCTGCTTTGTTTGTTGGCTCAAATTTGCTGGCAGGCTGCCACACGAGGACTCTTTGGGACTGCGATTTGGACTGGGACTGGGATCGGGACACCGAAACTGAAACTGAGACTGAGACTGAAACCGAGGATTGGGGATGGAATGAGGCCGAGGATGGGGACAAGGATGAGGCACAGACAGGACATGTCACGTCAGCGGCACAAAGCCCGAGCACAAAGGCCTGATAACTGCAGTCGCCTGATAAGCAGCACCCCAAAGAAGGAACTGCCACCCACTCGACGACACTCGAAAAAATTTAGGATGAAAGTCAACTTTTTTTTTGCGTTTTACTTTTTACTTTTTAAAAATACATAACTTGAATTTTAAGAATTCGGAGATATTGTTGCATTTCTTCTACATTTTACATTTTGCTTTTTTTTACCCCTAAAGCTGATAAGAAATTTTTCTTTTGAAGATCAATTCATTTTTCAATCTACCAAAAATGTATATCGTAGATATAGTAAATTCGGCTTAGTATTGGAACTCTATTTTTAATAAGTCTTATTTCTTTCTAATTTTTTTAGCTGTTAAATAACAATTTTTCAGAGGCATACAAAAATAGCTCTAGAAATGTTGTTATTTGTTTTAGGATTCTATTGACTATTTTTTAAGTCAAATTTCTTATTGGAAATTATTTTGCTACCCTTATCGCAGACAGTGCTCTGCCATTTTAAACCCCCGATTTCTCCGAGTGCAGCCTTTTTTGCTGGCGCCCCTCTGGAGACCCTTTGCCACCCGGAAGCACAAGTCGCCCCTTTTGTCATTTCGCTCATAACGTTAATTTATATTCAGTTCAGTCTAAAAAAAAAATGAATAGCCAGTGGTAGTGGTAGGTAGGTACAGTGAAGCCCGTGTGACAGCCATCGAGAGGAGGAGTGTGGAGTGCGGAAGGGGACAGATTAAGTTAAGTTAAGTTTAAGTTAAGTTTTAAGTTAGATTTAGTTGTAGAACTGCTGGCGACGACGCTGCGCCGGGGCGGCGGCCACGAAGCGGCGTCCCGAGATGCCGGCCGAGAGTCCCGAGGAGGAGCCCTCGTTGGCGGAGTACAGGAGCAGGGGGATCTCCTCCACGCTGGTCTGCTGCTGCTGGGCGGAGTTGCGGACGCCGGAGCGGAGCAGCTCGTCGGCGGACAGGCGGCGCAGGGCGGCGGGAGAAGCGGCGACTGGAGCGGCTGGGGCGGCGGAAGCTCCATCCAGCAGCTGATCCTCGTCGTTCTCCGGCTGCTCGAGGACCAGATCCTCGGGCTGGGCCACCGCAATGCTGTTGCCCACGGGCGCCTCGCCCTCGTTGTCGGCGGAGGAGATGGAGCTGCTCTGGAGCAGGGCCTCGATGTTCTCCAGGTTGGAGAGGCCGTTGATCTGCAGCTGGTCGTGCAGCTCGGCGGGAATGGCGATGGCCTGGACGTCCTTGTGGCCCGAGATGCCGTTGGGCGTGGGGATGAACTGCACGTTCTCGGGAATCTGATCGGTGGGGTAGACGGGCACCAGCTCGGCCTCGTTCTCGTTGCTCGACTTCAGCAGGATGAGGGAGATGGGCACGATCTTCTTGAACTTGAGCAGCACCAGCTTCTTGATGGCCACCGCGCCGGGGAAGACGCGTCCCTGGGGGCCACTGTGGGGCTTGGCTATGAGCGCCCGCTGCTCGAAGTGCTGCCTGCGGTGACCACTGACATGACGGGCTGAAGGGGAAAAATAGAGGGATAAAATATAGGATTTAAATAATATTTATTTGAATTTTTAAATTATATTTTAAGTCCCCAAATAATTTCTTAAATTGAAAAACAATTTTTAAAGCACTTTAAAACTTTCCAAAAAAATGTAAAAAAAATTATTATTGATAGAACGACACTCCAGGCAGTTAATTAATTAATAATCGCTGGATAATTAAAGCCCCACAGCGAATAATTCGATAATGACCAGTCGAAACAGAACGAACCAAGATCATTAAAGTCTAAACTCACCTTCGCTGAGGGCCAAGATGGCCAGGCCGATGGTCAAAAGGGCTACCAACTTAATTGCCATAATGATGGGATCTAGGAAACTTGAAAAGCTTGGGTGACTGGGATGTGGACTTGGACGAGGGCCTCTATTAAATGGTCCATCAAGTGCCCGGCAAAGACATTTTATACAGGGGAGGAACGTTCACCTGGCAGTAGAGCAGCAGCAAAATGGAAGGCGAAACAGCGGAGACACATAAAAATCACCCGAAAAACAAAAGAAATTAGGTAGCCGGGCAGCAGAACAAAGTAAAATGTGGCGAAATTGGAGGGGATTTGGATTTGGACGATTGGCAAATTATTAAACTATGCAAATGTCCAAATGTCGGCTGATTTATGCACGAAAACCAGAAACAGAAAATCAGAGAGTCGCAAAACCTCCGACTATTCCATCCCAGAGATCCCAGAACGTTGACTTTTGGTGGCTTCGTCTCCGTTTCCATTTCCATTTCCAGTTGCAGTCTCAGCCTCTTGCCAGAATCGAGAAATTTGCATTTTGGGTCGACTCGAAAATACGGGAAAAATACAAGCAAGAAAAAAAAGCCAAACGAAAGAAAGAACCGTCTGGCCAATTCTTGAGCCAATTTTGAGGTCAAAAGTGAGATTTTCAATAAGTCAGGCCGCTTCCATTTGTCACTGTCCGAAGTGGGCGAGGTCCCACTGTTCTTCCCCCCACATGTCAGAGTTCGGGGCTTATTTGGGCCACACTACATATATATATATATACATATTTAGCCAGCATGTGTTCCCCATTCGGATCGGTCGAACAACGGGCATTTAAATCAATCAAATGGATCGAGTCCATGGTGCGAAATTTATTCTCTTCTCCGCCTTTCCATTCTCCCCACTGAAAGTCGGTCCAACTTAGTGCCAGCGATTAAATGGTTAACCCATCGAACTATGAGTTGCGGGTCGGGCGAAATAATGGCAAGACGGATTATGATTTTATGGGATTTATGGCCGTTTGCTCACTATCTTAGTTTCCCCTCATTGTTTGCTAATTCAAATCAATAATCCTTTGTTTGCGGCGCTTTGTTTTGCAGCCAATTGAAATACAAGAGATTATGAGACCAGCGGAGTGCCATGCGTCTTAAAATAGTTTCGAAATGGCGCCTAAAACTTTGCTGTGAAAAATGTTCAAATCAAATGTTGATAAATTGCTTCTGAAACTTCCTCCTAAGTGACTTAAAACCGCAATAGATATTCTTGAAAATAATGTATCGACTTTTTAAATTTATTTTACTGCGTTAAAATTAAATGTGATAAATATTTTACCACAAACTACTCTATACCATAAATAAATAATATAAAAATAATTTAAAATGTTGAATTTAATTTAAGACAATAGGTATACAGATACAGATATGTAAATAATTTAACTGTGCAATGAAAATATATTTAGTGTTTATTCTCATTTTTCATTTTCAGTACGTTCTAAAAGTTCTCCTCGCAAAGTTATATTAAATCAGAATGCTGACTCTTCTGTTTTTCTTGATCATCCTAAGCTTTTTAGGACCTTTGAGCGGCTTCCAGGATAGTGGTTCTTTTATCTGCCAGCTTTCCGATGCACCAACTCAGTGTGGCATTGCGGCCACTATTCGATGATAAATACATAAGTCAGAACAAACTAAACTGGATTGAAGAAGGAGTGGAATCCCTGAAGAAGACCAATTCGAGGGAAGAACGACAAATTGTGGCGGCAAATTCTGAAATGAAGAGTGCATTGCAGATGCTGCACGCCAAAATGGAAAATCTGGAGACCAAGAGTGCAGCCCTACTTCAATCTTTTGAGACGAGAATGAAGGAACAACTGCAGAGCTTTGCAAAATGGAAGCCCAACTAAAGGAGCTTCCAAACAAATCAAAAACAAACAAACGTCTGAAGCTGAAGCAACAATCGACCACTCAAAAGACCCCTCCCAAAACGCATTCCACAATACAAACCCAGAAGATCATCCCTCCGAAGTTTGAGCTAATTGGTTCCAGATATTTTTATATCGAAAATGATATTGAAAAAACCTGGGATAAGGCTGTAAAAACGTGTCGTGAAATGGGCGGCTATTGGGCGGCTTTCAAAACCCAAGAGGAACTTGCAGACATAATACAGAAACTTAACCAAATAAATTATCACTGGTTCTGGACTGGCATTAAGCATTTGAAGAAAGATGGCAAGATCATATCTACGGCCTCCGGGAAGCCTGCTACCGTGCTAAAGTGGCACGAAGGAAAGCCCAGTAATGATATTTATTTTAAAGACGGGGGAATGGCTGATTTCGATTGTAGTTTTGATTTTTTGTTCATTTGCCAATCAGATAATGTTTATGTTTCCATGTAAGTAGTAAGCTAGCACAAACAAATTTTAAAAATCAATTTAATTATAATGTTGGCATAGAATGTAAAATCGTACAAATGTATTTCCATCGAAAAAGTGTTTAATATATTTACAAAACCTAAATGGTCCGACTGATAACAAATATGGATATTTTACCGATTTTCATATAACTTTTGGAAACATAAGAGCATCAATAAAAATTATTTGACAACTAAACAAACTTTAATCTTAATTTGGACAAAAAATGTTTTTCTTTAATAGCTTATTTTTTACGAAAAACTCCCAAAAACACAAAGTTTCTGATTTGAATGCGGATCGTAAGAAAGTGAGTTTAAATCAACGAAGAACTAATTGTGGACTGTAATTAAATTGTTAAGAAAACCATACATTTATGTGACGCGCAGTGCATGTAATTCTAGTTAGGAAGACTCTCCCAAAGCGGTTGAATCGAAATCGAATCACTCCCGATATCGATCCCCTGGCCTGAATATTAATTAGGTTCCTTTGATGGCGGACAGAATCGGGAAGCAATCGATTTTCTCAGCCCGATCTAATTCCGAATTCGGGCCACTGACCACGGGTGGTATGATTAATTTATGTGCTGCGTTTTTTTCGCGCTCCACTTTTTGCCAGCCTCTCCGATGGTTTATCTAATTTATGTTATTGCCGCGGCAATTATTTAAATTTTCCACAGCTACCGTTGGCAGTTCTTTGTAATGACGAGGGCGGCCTGGGAAAAAAGGAAAACATATTTGCTGCCCATTATGGGCGACATAAACAAATGTTTTAATAACCAAATTATGCGGCCAAGAGCGCAATGTATTCATTAGCTTTGAGGTCTGGACGAGCAAAAGAGATCCGAGCCAAGTTATTTGATGCTAATGGAAATGCATAAAAAAATCATAAATACTCATTAGCAAAGTGTTTTTTTCGTTTTTTTTCTGGTTTTTTGGTATTTTGCGTATATGACGAAGAAGAAAGTTGCCCTCAAGTCGGGGGTCATCTCATCTCACCTAATCATTTGCGGGGTCAACATATTTGGAAAGTTACTAAAGTAGGGAAAGTTCTATTTTTGGACCGTGGCTAAGAAAGATTCCCGGAATTGGCACAATGATCCACATTCGGTGAATAGAAATCGCTGGGCGGAAATTGCTAGTGAGTTCGGGGGATTTACTTGACTTCGATCAATCAATATCTTTAAATTACAATCGGAACTAGTTTATGTCCGTACGAAAAATTGAAACGTCAATTTTAATACGGAAACATTTTTTAAAGTACTTACACAAAATTTCTGGTATCCAGACATAACATAAAATTTTTAGTTAACAAAACCTATCTAAAATGTTATTTTCCAATTTAATTGGTTTAGTTTAGGTAAATTTATTTATAATTCGACTTTAAAGAACTTTGGTAAGCTTATTAAAATAAAACTAAATAGTAATCACACAAATTATATATAAATATACACATTGAATTACACAAACATATTAGTTATTTCTTTCTTTTTTGTTTCTAATTTAATTTATTGCTTCTAATCGTCTGATCAGGGGTTAAATACCAAAAAGAAATTATGAAAATGACCATAAATATTCCTAAACCATGAACATATTAGTAAAGGAATTTCAGTATACCCTTGCAGAGGGTATAATGATTTCAGTTAGAAGTTTACAACGCAGCGAGGGAGACGTTCAGACCAAACAAAATAAATATATTTTTGATCAGCATCACTAGATAATCTAGCCATATCCGCCGTTCCGAACTAGTCTCCCCATTTTGCAGCTATCCGGATGTAACTTTTCCAAATCCTTTTTTATTTTAGGTATGATATAAGTCTTCTACTCTTAACAAAATCACTTAATTTAATATAATATTTCTAAAGTTGGAATTTATTTTAGAAAAATTTTACAACAATATTCCATAGGAGCGATGGTAAAATTATTGGGAAACTAATAGGTTAAATATTTAGTCTTTATCAATTTTTAAAAAATTTCGTCTTGGCCAAGCTAGCTGCCTTTCTTGTTTTAAGTTATATTATAAAGATGACAATTAAAGTTACCAAACCAGCATTCTTTTTATAGCCCGCTAAATATCTAAAATAATTAAACAGAAAAAAAACTATTATAAAATAATGAAGTCTATGCAAAGATTATTGAGAGAATGGGTTTTTATCAGAATTAGTAATCAAACTTAAGTTAAACTTAAAACAATAGAAATAATTTAAATAATAGTCCAACAGGCAATGTTAAATAATAATACATGTTTCAATTATGCCGATATAATTAAAGACAAAAATTTTATAATTTTGGTTTTAATTTACCGAATAATTCTTTAGGATTTTTTTAAGTAATCAGAAAAAGCTCTTTCCGATTCTATGAGTTTATGAAGTGAAATACAACTTTTACACTTTTTGTTATGCCAGCTAAATGTGGAAGAGTACCAATTTAGTTGATGGGATAATCAAAAAGAAATTCCAGCCTAGGCGTGGCCCTTTAGACCAGCATATTTATGGTTCTGGGCCCGAACTAGTTTCGAAAAACTGAAAATATTCCGGGGCAGCGTTTGGCAGCGCGACCTGCGACCCGCGATCTTTTTTGGCCAGCGGTCAAGAAACCGCAAATTGATTTACAGCATTGCTGTTGCCGGCAGAAGAGAGAGCTTTGCCGTTGGGATTCTGGCTCTCTCTCCAGATCGCTCGGCTCACTCTTCTGGGCCTTTCGGCTAATACGGGCTTTTGGCCAAAACCGTTTGTAGACGGCACATAAAAAGCTCGGGTCGCGTCGCTCCCCCAACAGTTCGGCAAAAGAAACCTCTGTCTGTGGACCCCCAGAAAGCGAGGTCTCGCATCATATTTGAAACCCAGTGCGTGATAGTGATAGTAGAGACTCAGAAACCCCGAGATCTGAACCTGAACCGAAGCCATGACCAAGTTCGTGGTGGTGGGCCTGTGCCTGCTGATGGCCCTTGGCCAGATGGCTTCCGTTTCCGGCGTGACCGAGGCTCCGGAGGTGGAGCAGTCGACGGAGTCGCCCATCGCCGACATGGCGCTGATTGGTAGGACCCCTCCCCCAGAAAACAACCCCCTAGAAAACAACCCCCCAAAAATCTAACCTCTGATCTCTGTGTTTCTCTTTTTTTTCATGTGCCTTGTGTTTTGTTTGTTTGGTGATTTTTTGTTCTGTGATTTGTGGTGATTATTTGCCTGCTGCTGTGGCGAGCAGAAGATGTATCGCCCATGGCCCCCAAAACGCCCACGGAGAAGCCGCCCGTTGTCCAGGCTCCCGCTCCCTCCCCCGTTGCAGTTCCCCTGGAGATCCTGGAGAAGGCGGCGAATCCCCAGCCCCACACGGTGGCCGACTTCATCATCCATCCCCTGATCGCCTTCAAGCCTCGCCAGGCCTCCCTCGAGGAGATCCAGGGCAAGCAGGCCCAGCAGGGAGCCACTCCGGCGGCAGCTGGAGGATCGCCCGCCTCCCCGGGCACCTGGCTGTTCGGCATGAATCCCGCCCAGCAGCTGGGCTCCTCCTTCTCCACGCTGGCCGGTTCCGTTTCCGGTTGGTTCAACGATCGCCTGCAGGCCGCCGGCCAGCAGCTTCCCGGTCTGGTGGAGACCCCCGTTAGGGAGTCCACCACCAGCACCAGTAGCACCACCACCACCACCACCCAGCGACCAGATATTGTGGTGCGGGTGCAGCAGCGTCCCCAGAGGAATGGCAATCGTAATGGCGGAGGAGTGGGTAACCTCAATGGAGGAGGTAACCAGAACAACCTGAACAGACGTCGCCAGCAGCGACCCAATCGGTTCAACAACCGACTGGACTCCTTCGAGGACGACTACTACGAGGACGACTACTTCCAGGGCAACCGATTCGACGAGGAGTTCGACGACGACGAGGATGAGCAGAGCCTGGAGCAGTTCGAGGATGAGGATTCCCTGGAGCAAGTGCGTCCCCAGAGGCAGAAGAATAAGAAGAACAAGGTTCAGGTAACCCAGAACCAGCGCAGGAAGTTCCAGCAGCAGCAGGAGGAGGAGCAGCAGCTGGTCAGCCAGAAGAGGCGTCAGCAGCCTCTGGCCGCCCAGAAGAAGCCCAAGGTGCAGAAGAAGCCCATCCAGCCAGTTGAAGAGGAGGAGGAGGAGGAGGAGAACGACGAGGACGAGGAGGAGAACGACGACGAGGAGGAGGATCAAGAGCAGGACTTCCAGCCTGCCGCCGGCGGCTCATCCTCCACCAGGCGCAGCCAGAACCAGCCCAACTTCATCCAGCGTGGTCAGCAGAGCATCATCAGCCAGATCCGTCAGTTTACCAGGGGTCAGACACCCGGTGAGTTGGCCACCACGCTGAGGAGAAACCCTGCTACTTCCTCCTCGGGAGGATCTTCCAAGACCCGTCGTCCTCAGCAGACGACTCTCCTGGTGAATCGCAATGGTCAGACCGTTTACCTGGCCCCCGAGCTGCTCAGCTCCCCCTATCCCTACGCCTATGTGCAGGGGGGTCAGGCCAAGAAGCAGCGGGTTCCGGTCAGCGGCTCCTTCCCCCAGCCCCCCCTCACCGTGCCCGTGAGGCGGCAGGGCGGCGGTCGACCCACCCAGTACATCACCATTCCCTGGAGCCAACTGGGCCTTTCGCCACCCGACCAGCAGTCGGTGGTCTCCCTGGCCGAGGGCATCCAGGCCCAGCCGCTGATCCTCAACATCCCCCAGAGCGCCATTAGTCCGGTGAGGGGAACCTCTGCCGGTGGTCAAAAAAAGAAGCAGCGTCCCCAGCTGACCGCCTCGGCGGTTCCCCTGCTGGCCGACGCCTCCCTGATGGACATCTTCCAGCCCCCCCAGATTCCACCCTCCAGGACAGGAACTCCCTCCCAGGGAGGAGCCTCCGCCGCCGGAGGAGCCTCCATCAAGCCCATTTCCGCCCAGCCCGTTCTGATTGCCGCCAAGCCCGTGAAGGCCGGCGGTCTGCTGCCCACTCGCATTCGTCCCGGAACGATTGTGGAGAAGGCACCTGCCATGGAGGAGAAGCAGCCCATGGAGGCAGGAGCCAGCGATGTGGTGAAGCAGGAGCAGGAGATGATGACCCCGGAGGCCACACAGACCATCCCCGAGCAGCAGCAGCAGCAGCAGGAGTTCATCCTGGTCGGCGAGGATGACGAGCCGGGCCTTTCCCGCCATGTCCAGCCCGCCTTCGGGGATGCCCGCTATGTGTCCTACGGCGACTTCCATCCCTACTTCGATCTGCTCACCCAGAACAGGCGGTTCGCCCTGAGGAAGAGCGGTAGGTCGCTGGAGAGTCCCGAGGAGCACCAGAAGGAGGCACCCAGGGCACTGAGCACTTTCGGAAAGGCGCCAGAGGTCCCGAAGGAGGAGGTTAAGAAGGAGGAGCACCAGAAGGAGGAAATCCACAAGAAGGAGGAACACCAGAAGGAGGAGGAAAAAAAGGAGGAAGCCCATAAGAAGGAGGTTGAGAAGGAGCACCAAAAGGAGGAGCACCAGAAGGAGGAGCAAAAGAAGGAGGAAATCCACCAGAAGGAGGAACCCCATCACCAGGAGCACTCCGCTTAATTTTGTAACACAAAAAAGCCTCCCGAAAAAATCGAACCCAAACGAAAAATGAAAAATATTGAAGATAAAACAAAAAAATAATGACAAACAAAACCAAAACCAAAACGATTTTCAATCCCCGTGAAAACCACAAAGAAATAAATTTTTTTACCTTTTTTTTGCGTGTGTTAATGCCTAACCAAAAAAGTCGAAAAGCCATCGAGAGAGAGAGAGAGAAAACTATTAACATAACTAAACCTTTTTTTTTATTGCCGCTTTCGGCCAGTTGAAAGTTCAAGTTTTCACGGTCCAGATCATTGACCCCCTCGAAAGACCGAAAACCTGATCTCGAACCCCCAGAAAACGATGGCTTATTAATGAGGCCCGTGCGCTTTGACCGATTTAAATATGCATATCTACCATCTTGTCGCGGTTTATTTTCGCTGGCCTTTCCATAATTAATATTCGCCCGGCGACTAAAGAAATTCGGTGCTTGGGGTCAGGCGAAAAGAATTGGCAGATTAAGAAAGCACCTTATCGATATGCAAATGGGTTGACCGATTAACGGTATTCGGCGTAGGTACAGTTGATCGATTGGAATTGCTTATCGATCGAAGGCAACTCTGCGCTGGGGTTTCGCAACAGGTAGCTTTTTGTGGATTGTTAAGAAGCTATGAAAGTTCAAAGGGGTTAAAAAGTGTTAGGGAAGTAAATGAGATCCGAGAGCTTTGAGCTTAATGGAAGGACTCTTTTTGTATGTAGATCTGGAAACTTAAAAGTTACTAGCTAAGGATCTTGGAGCTTAAAGCTTATTTTTAGGATAACAATATATCTTTCTTTTAAAGTTTGATATAGGATCTTTGAGCTTAGTTGAAGGATAAAATATAACCAGAACAAGCTTTTCTGTGAATGTCTTAAACATATTTATAAAAGACCTATTTTTATTAGGGTACTTCATTTATTTTCAATTACATAGATGGACTACAAATCATACCCATTTTTTTCGTGAATTGTTTGTATGCTTTCAAGTTAATAACCCAATATAATGTCTAAAGGTTTTTTTATACCCAAGATCATTAATGACATTTTGTTATGTTTACACATAGACTGAATATTGCTATAACATTTTTGACTAAACTTAATAATTTTTTTATTTCTTTACTATTATTATAGAAAATATTTATTGGTCAGCAAACTAAACAGTTATTAACGCCTAGGGAATTGGAAAATAAACTAACAGATATATTAATGTATTTAAATAATTGAATATATTTAAATATTAGTTAAATATAGTATTAGTAGAAAGGTGACACTCAGACCCCCTTTACAATTCTCTCGCCGGCACACTCGACTCTTGGTCAGGGCAAATAAAGTACGCACAGCAATTCTTCTTCCAGCCTAAAGACCCCGGGCAACGTTTAGCAAGTCAAGCGGAGCGGGAACCCACGATAACGATCCATTCCAGATCGATGAGATGCGAACGAGATGATTTGGCCCTTGGGCCACAAGGTGGAAATTTGCATAATCATCCCCGAGAGGAGCGGACACTATTGGGCCAACATGCGAGCACTTCAGCTTTACATTCGGCCTCAGCCGGTTGACAACATTATTCCGGCATTATTTTGATATTTAATTGTGCCCCGACGACAATGGGCCGGGGTTAACGCTCAGGCAAGTGGCCAGAAAAGGCGGCTGGAAATAACTGGATGGCCGAAGAAAGAGTTTCGAATTCCCATTCTGCGATTCAGGCATGTGTGTGCAGATATACGGTCGTAAATTCCCCCGCAGGCAAAGGTCAGCACCTGCCGAATCGGATTTGGCCATATAATTAAAGAGCAGAAGAACCGAGGAACGGCCAATGAACTTTCAACTCGATCGGGGCCCAGCCCATGAGCTTAAGACCTGGGCCAATTTATTAGCCAAAATCCAAGAGCCAAGAGCCAAAAATCAAAAACTGGACAGCAGCTTTCTTTGTGCCGTTGCCGTCGTTTGAATATGATTTTCGCTTCTGACCCCGTTGAACTTCTCCCTCGGCACATTCTTATGGAAATTAAGTTGGCGTTTTAGAAATTTTTCGCAGTTTCCGCGGACTGTTGCCAGGCGGATTTTGGCTTTAAATTTCACTGTGACTTCTTGAATGTCTCTAATAAAGTATATATGTTTGAATTTGAAATTGACCCAAGTGCGTGTGGATTTCTTTTTTTGCGGGGCGGTGGAAAAGGCGACTTTAAACTAGCGGATTTATGAAATTTCTCCCAATCTCCAAATATATATGGTAATTTTTCGCGCTGACCCAGTTTTTGTCTAACAGTTCATCAGAGTTAAAAGTTGAACGTCATGAGAGAACCAAAAATTAATTTATGCGACCTGTTAGAATATTTCAATTTCCATAATTAGATATGAATGAAAACATCTGGATCAGTTGAAGAACAGTTATCCAAAGACTGTACTCAATGATCTTCAGGCTTCGGAATTCTTTCTTCAAAAGCTCGGAAATCCTTACGAAATTAGCTACCGTTTTAGAAGTTTTATTGCATTATGAATATTTATGACATTGGGTAATCTGGGAATTTGTTATAGGCAAAATGACTAAATTCTTGGAGTGAATGAACTAAAAATACCTCTGACATCTTTGAATTTTTGCCGATGAATTTTGCCTAGAAGAACATGAGCATAAGGAATGGCACAAAGCGAGAATTCCACTTTGCCATCAACAAAAAATTAATAAATTAATTTAAATAATTCAGATATGACTACATTTATATTCGAAATCAAATTATTAATTAATTAAGTAAATATTTAAATAATTTTCAATTTATTTTATATATTCTGAAGTCAGTTTTCTTAAGCCTTGAAGTTGTATGGGAAATCAGAGTTTGGAACCTTTATTAATTTAATTTCTTTATTTATTTATTATAATAGTTTCTGTAGAATGGGAATTGAAAGTTAAGTTAATATTTAAAAACTTGGATTTTCATATAAATTGTTCTAATAATTTTCAAACAAATTTAAGTATAAATTTTACCTTCAGCTTTTCAAGTCACTTTTAAGTCTGAAAACTAGAATCTCGAGAATCCGGAAAAATGAGCCAAGCTCAGAACGCCAGCACCGATAAAGTGGTGATCTATGAGTTCGCTTGGCCACTGCTGGTGGCCATTTACCAGGTCAACCTGTACAGGATAATCCTGGAGCTGGTGGCCCACATTCTGCTGATGGTCATAGCCGTGGTGGTAGTGAGGAAGTCCTGGCGAATGGACGACTCCCGCAGCGGCCGGCACGCCCTCTACTCCGTCCTGGGACTTTTCTGGTGCGTGGGCGAGGCCCTGTTGGTGTGCCACTCGTGGTGGTGGGCCGACCTGACCTCCAGGAGGCGCCTCAACCGACTGCACATGGTCCTGGGCATGGTGGGGCTCTGGCTGGGCCTGGTGGGCATCTTCTCCAAGTGGCTGGCCAAGCGCAGGGTTCACGAATCGCACTTCAACTCGAAGCACGGACTGTGCGGCCTCCTGGGCTTCCTGCTCCTCGTTGGATCACTGGTCACTGGATTCGCCCTGGTCTTCGTTAGCCACCTGGTTCTGCATCTCACCCACCGACTGGTGAGTCTGGTGGCCTTTGTCTGCCTCGCCTGCAGCCAGTGGTTCGCCCTCAACTTGGGTTTCTCCCGCCGCGAGTGGGACGGCAGGAAGGTCAAGTGGCTCAAGATCGCCACCCTGGGAGCCATCGTTTCGACAACTGGCTATGAGCTCCTCTGCCTCTCCAGGGACATTGTCCATCTGCTGCCCGGCCAGTGGATCACAGCCATCGGACTGAACATCAGGGATAGCCTCATTTTGGATTAATGAGCAGTGAAATCAGGGGACCGTATTATTGTATTATTGTTCATTTTTCCGTTGAACATTGCATTTAAATAATAAAATATATTAAAACAATGTTTTCGTTATTTAGATAATTTATTTTTATTTAAAAGGATAAGAAAATTATATGTAATTATACCCGTTACTCGTAGAGTAAAAGGGTATATTAGATTCGTGCAAAAGTATGTAACAGGTAGAAGGAAGCGTTTCCGACCCTATAAACTATATATATTCTTGATCAGGATCACCAGCCGAGTCGATCTAGCCATGTCCGTCTGTCCGTCTGTCCGTCTGTCCGTCTGTCTGTCTGTATGAACGCTGAGATCTCAGAAACTACAAAAGCTAGAAGGTTGAGATTTCCCACACATATTCTTTGGCTTCCTACGCAGCGCAAGTTTATTTTAGCCGAGCGCCACGCCCCCTCTAACGCCCACAATCGCCCACTAACGATTTTAAAATGGGTCCTGCGCCCACATCTTTAAAGATTTCCGAGAAGTTTAAATGCAATTTTGTTGTGTATATTTATACCTATCGAAATGTAGAAGACTTTTTTCAAATCGGACCATTCATTAAAAAGTTATACGCAATCAAAATTTATATATCTATCTCCCTCGCACTCCCTTTAGCTGAGTTACGATTATTAGTCGGGATACAAACCCGAGTACAGCGTTCGCACTCCCTTTAGCTGAGTGACGGGTATTAGATAGTCGGGACACCAACCCGACTATAGCGTTCTCTCTTGTTTTTCCTATATTTTATATGTTTATCAAATTTAAGGGTCTTTTATCAACAAGATTACTATGATTGTATGTTCGATCAATGCATTTCTATATTTGCGTACTAGGAAATAAATAAGAATAATAAATAAATATACAATTTAGAAATAAACCGAAAGTTGATATAGTTGTCTTGAAAGTGGTGGGCATGCTTAGCTTAGGTTGTTGACTGCTTAAAAAACAGTCGGTCTTTCAGATGTGTTTTTTCCAAATTACGATTGAAAACCCGCTGTAAAAAGGGTATTTTTATACCCTCGCAGATGTATAAGTAATAGATTAGCAGTTAAGCCTTTTTAATTTTTAATACTACTCATTTTATGTGTTTGCCAACCTTAGTAATCCTTAAAAATGAAAAAATGTTTCAAAATAATTATTTCTTCTAAGTCAGCAACAAGTTTAAAAGAGCATGGATTTTTGAATTGGGTCATAGGATACCGAGGTTTGATAATTTACAATTATAATATTGATTAAATAAAATCAACGAAAATGCCAATCTTGCTAAAATAAATAATTCTTCTAAACGGTTTAGTTATTATAAATTGAATGGGCTTGGAAAATGAAAAATGTGCTGTAACCTCAGCCAAAGTCTGCGAATTGATCGCATGTGAAATATTAGCCGACTTTCAGTCTTTCACCTGCAGAATTCGGCACTTTGCTTCGCTATTAATCACGCGAACAAAGCCCAACGAGGGGGTCTATCAATCAGGCACATGGCCTTATACCGAACCATCCCATACTATTCCATATTATCTCACCACCCCATTGGGCATTGGCTATATGACCGGTGGCCGGTTGATGGGATGCGACCACTTCGCATGCGTCGCTGACTCCGAGAGCAGGTCCATCATGAGTTCGGATGGGATTGTTTTGCGATGGGATCGTCAGCGGCCCTTGACTTCTTGACTTCTCCGGTTTCTTCTCGTTCTTGGGAGCCTGGGTTCTTGGTTCTTCGGTTCTTTGGTTCTTTGCGTGTCTCTGATTGTTTTGTCATTAGCATGACCGCCGCGCTTTTTTGGGCCTTTGGTGATCTTCGACTTTTCGATTCGGACTCAAACTCGGACTTCTGATTTATTCAGCGCTCTTTCTTTTGTCCCGCCATCGCCCATCGCCCATCGGCCGGCGGGTCACTGACTCTCGATTCTATTTTTCTACTTTTCTACCTTTTCATCATCATATTTTTCTACGACTTTTTTCCACAAATTTCGCCACTTGAAATTATGCCGACATCGACCGCAATTATGCCCAATGTTCTGAGTGGGCTCTCTCTCCGCCGCTTTCATTTGGATTGTGGACTGTAGATTCTAGACTTTCTGGCCAGAACTTTTTCGCATAAAAACCTAATGCCGCCGCCGCAGATCGTACAGTTCTGTTTGGGCCTTGCTTACAATTAGGATCCGGTCGGCAGTAAATCTTCAATAAATATTTCTCTCCCACACTGATTACTTGCGAGTCGAGAATGTCCAAGTTGGGTGCTATCTTGGTGATGGGCCTGTCCCTCCTGGTGGCCCTCGCCCTGGCCGAGCCACGCCTCCAGCAGGGGCGCGGGGGTCAGCAGGTGCAGCAGGTGCAGGGTCAGAGGTCGCAGCACCCCTACCTTTTCCTGACCATTCCCAAGGGTCGCGCCAATGCCGGCGCCGTTGTCCAGGGCTTCGAGATTGTCGAGGAGGAGGACGAGGACGATCAGGACCTCCAGGACGATGATCACCACAATGACGACGACGAGGACGAGGAGGAGGAGCTGGAGCACCAGCTGGGTCTGAACTTTGCCCGCAGCGGCCTGGTCTACAGGAGGAACCAGCCCATTGCCGACGAGGAGCAGGACGACGACCAGGATGAGGGACATGATCAGGCTGATCTGCCCAAGAAGCAGATGATGGTGCAGCGGGATCAGGCTGGGGCCATCATGGTTCCCGACGGCATCATCGAGATCGAGGGCCAGAGCGTCCTGGACGAGAAGACCGGCAAGGCGGCGCTCCTGGTGCCGCGTGCCGCTTTGGATGCCATTCCCGATGGCGCCGTCGTCGCCCTGATGGAGCGCTCCGCCTCCCCCTCCGCCAACGATGAAGTCGAGGAGGAGCGCGCCAATCGCGTCATCGTCCGCCGGCGCAAGAACAACGGTCGCCGCAACATCCGTCGGCGGGGCATCAGCAACAACAACCGACGTCGCCGTCGTCCCGCCCAGAGGCGCCGTCGCACCGGAGGCAACCGCCGACGCAACGTCCGCGTCATCCGCCCCCAGGGAGGCGGCGGCGGCAACCGGAGGCGTGGCAACCAGCGGCGCCGCGGCCAGGTCGTCCTCCAGGGCTAAACGAGCAGCGCAGGAAAAGGGGGGAGGCGGACGCCACCTCCCTCTATATAGTATTATAGTTAAGATCCACTCCCGATCGAAGGACACGAACCTTGAGACACTTGACCACGATGCGACAAATAAAATGTGATATGAAAATTATACATATATCTGTTTTTGGGTTTTATGGGTTTATCAACGGGGGTGCCTTTTTTATTATTTCCTATGTTGATGGTTTTCTGAGGAGAAAATAAAGCGATTTTATTATTCTTCATTTATAATTCAACACACACAAAAAGGAAATGTTAAATATTTTTGAAATAAATTAATTTTTAATTTGGCTTACTCATTTTTAGAAACTAGATTTGCGAAGTAAGTTTAACAAATTAATTAAAATTACATGTACAAATATGTACCACGTTTATGGCTGATGATGTCTGAAAACTTATTTTGTCGAGCAATTTTTTTGTAAGGGGTCGTCAGATCATTAAGTTTTGCGAAAAATATCACAAATTTAAATGTCCAGATTTGAATGCCAATTTATAGGGAATTTTTATACTGGTTCAACGATGTATGACATCCCATATTTGGACTATTGTTTTCTTGGTTTCCGCTAAACTTCTGATTTGTTTTAATGGAAAAGCAGGATCTGGGTTTTTGCCAAGAACAGGTTTTTTCTTGTGCTTTCTTGCTGTAATTTGGCCAAAAATTGCGATAAATAAATCATTTATTTATTTTACTCATTTGCTGACTTAAAAAAATTAATTGTCCGACCAATTTGTTCATTTTTTGTAAGGGGTTACATCGCGATTTTTGGCAAAAAATGGCAAAGTGTTAAAATGTCCAAGTTTAAATGCCAATTAATTGGGAATCCCGAGTTCAATGATGTATGAAATTCCATATTTGGACTATTACTTTCATTGTTATGGACATAATACTATCTTGATTTGACATCATTTTTGAGGCCCACTTTTCCTAATATTTTAAGAATGTTTAATTTTTTTTTTCATTTTTTTAATTGGTTGTAGAGTTCTTTTGTACTTCAACTATCGGGTTTATTGATTGTAAAATATTTGACTAAAGTATTTGTTTTTATAGCTTAGTTCAACTTTTAAACTCGAAATAAAATTTGAGGTAATTTATTAAGATGCGACAAATAAAATGTGTAATAATAATTATGTATTCCTTTAATTTATTTTTTTAGTGTATGATATGAATAAATGATATGAATATGGGAATTAATGATTTTGTTTTCAGAATGGCTTTAATTGCATTAGCACTCACAGCATTTTTTCTTACCTCAAAAATTCAATTTAATTAAATTTATTCACTAAATCTTAAGACACTAATGTATAATTAAAATAATAAAAGGTGCAATATCATTTTAATAATTATTTCCAGGAAATTAGCAGTTACATTATATTGAATCTATCTCACTGTCTTCTAAAGATCTTTATAAAAAGAAAGTGCACTCATTTCGGAAACCTTTTATTTGGAGCAAGAAAGTTTTGTTGACAAATAAAGTAATTAAGATGTATTTTTCGCCAATCGATAAAAAAGAATTTATTTAGAAATATTAGAATCAATACATTTTTGAATGTGAATATATTTTGTACTACCCCTTGACCTTTTTTACGATTAATACGAACGAAGATATGTTATAATGTATTGTGTAGATGTACTTTTTTATCTTTTATATTAAAGAATAAATGTTATTATCCCAAGTACCTTGAGGAAAACATAATTCCGGAAGAAAGAATATAGAACGTTTATTTTAGATTCCTAAAATATGAGTAACATTTTTGTGGGACAAGTAAAGTGTTTCCTTGTGGATTTGTATACACTGGCAGGTTGATTTCAAGTTTTCAGCGTAAATGAGAATCATTGACTAGTAGCAGCATTTTTACACAAATACTTCTTGTAACTCTGGTTAATTGGTCCACTCTGTGGGGAGGAGGAGATGCCGGGCAGAGACTTCTGTGAGCCGAGAAAAACTGAAAACCGAGAACTGACAGCCAAAGAACTTCTGTTTGGGCCAGATTCCGGGGGTCAATCTCGACTTGGCTTGACGTCAATCAATCATCGGCTGCTCGGCGATGGCTAGAAGAATGTTTTTGGCGAAAGAGATGGGAAATTAGCATAAAATTCGTACGCCTCTGACCCGCGACCCGGTTCACTTTGACCCCGGGCGAACTTTGGCTAATAGAGCTGGCCAAGAAAAGGCGAAAAACGGGGGGATGGGGCTGAGGGGAGGATGTGACAGCAATCGATCAGCTGGACGGTCTGCCAATCCCAAGTGGCTATATAATCCCGGGTCGGACCCTCAGTTGTCAGTCAGTTGTGAGTGCAAACTCAGAGCCAACAAGTGAGTTAGGAAGCCACCGATCCCCCAGTCAAGGAAATCCTCATCCCGATAAGGAGAACCATCCGCAGAATGCATTGCCTGCTTCAACTGAGTCTGGCTGTGGCCCTTTGCGCCCTCTTAGCCCCAACCGCCACCTTGGGTGAGTCCAAAGTTCTGGTTACAAAGTAGAGATAGAAGGGGAGAAAGCCCTCTAAAAATTATCTATAGAGAACCCTCTGTTCTCCGCTTTCACAACACAAACTTGTGACCCTTTGCATCATAATTATCAGAATTTCTGAAAAGCCTTTTGTTCATTTTTTTAAAGGTTTTTAATGATTCCAAAATATTTTAAAGTTGTAGAAGAATATTTATTAACCTTTTCAGTATATTTTTTTGTTCAATTTTTGGATCTTAAAAATTACCTTTTAGCTACATTATTTTTGTTATTTATTACTCACTATTTAATTAACTTAACTAACTTTTCTGATAATTTTCTAAATATTAACATTTTTTATTAAATCTTTTTAAAAATCTAAAAAAAAGTTTTTGTGTTATATTTAATTTTTGGATCTTAAAAATTACCTTTTAGCTAAATTATTTTTGTAAACTATTACTTACTATCTAACTAATTATTTTATTAACTTTTCTAATCCATTTCTAAATCTAAACATTTTCTTTATATTAAATGTAATCCTAAAAAATCTTTTAAAAAAATCTAAGAAAATGGTTTAATATTATATTCTTATGTATTTACTAATTCTAATTTACAATTCACAGCCGAACGCCGCAATGTGTACCGCGTGGGTGCCGGGCAGCGCTCCTCGGAGGCCGCCCAGGAGGCCCGCTTCACCTCCTCGATTGCCAACAAGCTGACCTCGCTGAAGGGCTCGACCACGACGACCACGGTGGCGCCCACCACCACCACAATTCCCTCCTCCACCACCACCACGGAGACCACGTCGCCCACGGGACCCACCACCTCCACCGGCACCTCGACGAGCACCACCACCCCCACCACCACCACCTCGCCCTCCGGCCGCGAGTTTGGAAACCAGCACGAGGAGATCGCTGACGAGGACGACGAGGAGATGCCCAGGTCGTTCGAGGAGGAGGACGACGACGAGGCCGGCAGCCTGGAGGACGACGACAACGACGAGGACGACGAGGAGAGCTTCTACGTGGCCGCCCCCTCCGCCGGCGGCAGCAGCAGCGCCGTCCAGCAGTCCTCCGCCTCCGACGCCTCGGTGGTCCGCCCCTCGGAGCTCCAGTGGCGCCAGTTCCAGCAGGAGCAGCGCAACCGCCGCCGCATCCAGCGCCTCCAGCGGGAGCACAACCAGCGGATCCGGGCTCTGCTGCGCCGCCAGCGGGCCGCCGACAAGCGCAGCCAGCAGCGACTGAGGCGCCAGCGCCAGCAGAACCGCCGCCGCGTCTCGCAGAAGCAGCGCCGCAACCGCAACCGCTCGAAGGCCCAGCGGCAGCGTCAGCGCCGCAACAACATGAGCCGCCGCCGCCGGCAGCAGCAGCAGCGCCAGCGCCGCCACCGCCAGCAGCAGCGCCGCCGGCTGATGCGCCTCCTGCGCCGTCGCGGTCGTCGCGGCGGTCGTCGCAACTGAGGAGCTGAAGAAATCCCGATCCTGGTCTTGATCCGGGTCTAGGTCTAGCAATAGACGTAGATCCGGGGCAAAACAGTTCCGGTCCACAGCCCCCCAACCGATCCGAGAACCCCCGAATAAACTGAACTTGTATGCAAAACAAAAGTTTTTTTTTTTCATTATTACCTTGGGAGGAAAGGGATTTCTGGGATAACTGGGGAATATCACAAGGGATCATAAACATTCCATTTTATTACTGTTAAAAAAAATATTCCAAAAAGTCTCATAAGTTATGTAAAGATCTATAAAGGTCTTTGATAGTAAAATACATTAAAAACTATAGAGGAAGAATCATAGTAAATATGATGGATGATCAAAATCTCAAAGAGAAATATCAAAGGATAAACCATATTTTAATAATAAATAATATATCATGGGTGATTTTTTGTTCCTAAGTTAGGATTTCCCATTTTGATGAAGAATGCCCTAGAAATCTTGAGGAACAATTCCTCTTGAGGAATTAGAAGATTAATATTTTAAGCAAATACTTTATTTAATATCCTAACAACATTTTATCGCTTCAAATCAGAAATTCCTCAGATACGAGTGTATGAGAACCAAATAACATATTTTTTATATGGTGGTTATTTATTTAACAAGAATGTTGTTTAATGGAATATTTTGAGATGCCTTGTAAGGCATCATAAGTGCAAATAATTATATAACGCTAAAAATCAAAATGCAAGTTACCTAAAGATAACTGAACCTTAAGTGGATACTACAAAAGTATTATTTTTATAACAAACGTAATATATTATTTCTTATTTATAGTCATTATTTCATTGCCAAATGTAGTAAGTCCCCAAAACTCTTTCGTTGGCAACCGTGCGAATTGGCACTCTTTCTACCAATCCGAAAGCCTTTCTTCGCAGAATTCTGCGTGGGGTCAGCGCTTCGGTGGTTCATTGACACCTCGCCTCCACTTTCGCCCTTTGGTACTGAGAATCGGAGAATCAGAGAACCTGAGATCAGAGAACCTGAGATCAGAATCGAATATGAATATGCAAATGCTGGCGATTCGCGAGCCGTATGCAAATGATTAGCGGCGATCGATCGGATGGTTTGGATGGGGTTGGGGTTACGGGTCAGCTCGCGATTATTTATGGCATTATGCAAAGCGCTTACAACGCCGAAAAAAGGTGGGCATATTCGGGGCCCTTTCTTCGTAGGCCCACTAAAAACCCAGAAACTAAATGATAAAACTAACTCCGTCCCTTTTTCTCGTTCGTTACAAGTGTTCTCCTCTCTCTTTTCCTCGCTGTCCACTCGCTGTAACCTCTTGTAACCCGAAAAGGCCCTTGGTTACATATAAATATGGCAGTTTGCGACCCAAGAAGTCAGTCACAGCAGCCCAGCCATCCAAGAGTTACTCAGAGATCCCAGCCCAGCTAAAGGATAACAATACCTCGAGATGCATCTGATGAAGGGACTTTTATTGGTGGTGTGCCTGGCGGCCTTTGCCAGCGGTGGGTGATCTCGAGTCCCCAAAAATATATATCTCTATAATATCTAATATTTATAAACCCACAGCCAAGCCCCAGCAGAACTTCCAGGTCTTCGGCCGCCAGCGGGATGAGCCCGCCGCCCAAGGACGCCTCAGCGCCACCCAGCTGACCGACCTGCTGAACAGCCTGAAGGGCAGCAGCACCAGCTCCACCACGGCCGCACCCACCACCACCACTGTGCCCAGCACCACCACGGTGACCACCTCGCCCACCGGACCCACCACCTCGACCGGCACCTCCACCAGCACCACCACGCCCACCACCACCTCGCCCACCGGCACCACCGCCCGCCAGCTGCAACCCATCGACGAGGAGAACGACGACGACGAGGAGGAGCAGGAGCAGCACTTCCAGCTGGAGGACCAGCACGACGACGACGAGGTGGAGGAGGTGCAGCACCACCAGGCCGCCCGCTCCCAGAGCAACCGCCGCCGCCAGGTGAACGCCCGCCGCCAGCGCCAGCGGCTGCAGCAGAAGCACCGCCGCCGCCAGCAGCAGCAGCGCCGCCGTCGCCAGCAGCAGCAGCAGAAGCGCCGCCAGCAGCAGAAGCGTCGCCAGCAGCAGCGCCGCCGCAGGCAGCAGCAGCAGAAGCGCCGCCAGCGCCGCAACCGCCGCAGCAACATGCGTCTGGTCAACCGCTTCCGCCAAGCCACCCCCAACCGCAACCGCGTCATCCGCGTTTCCGCCTAGGCGCACAGACCCCGGACTGCCTGGAAACCGATCTGTAATGATTCCGAATAAACTGCAATGATACAAAAGGTGCCCTTGAGTTTTTGGGGGGATGGGGATTAGGGAAATCGGGGTCACCACCACACAGATCTCCTTCCATGGATAATCAAAGCATCACTAAAACACTTAAGCCTATTTGAACAATAATAGAGGAACTTAAGATTGGTTAACTGAAACATTTCTTAAAGCAAGAAGAAATCGGGGTCACCACCCTACAGATCTCCTTCTATGGATCATTAACGCATCACTAAAATACCTAAGACTATTTGAACAATAATGGAAAAATTAAGGATTGATTAGCTCAAACATTTTTTATAGTAATAGGAAATCGGGGTCACCACCCCAAAACTCATCCTTCGTATCACTAAAAAAATTAGAAATATTTTTAAACTATCGAGGAACTAAACTAAACGCCGGAACTCCTTTAACGGATCACCAAATAAAAGTCGCGCAATTACAGATCTCGATTATTTCTTTTTAGATCATAATCAGGCTTACCACCCCCTTCATGGATCATTAAATATATAAGACATGGATCATTTTGATTATATCTCATGTTAATTGCAAATTCAATAGCACATTAATTTTTTCGAAATACTTACTAGTTTAACAATTTTATCCGATTTCTCATTAATATATTTTCTGTGTTGGCCCAACACATTCAAATATATTTGAATGTGAGAATTGGAATTCTTTCGCTGATTCTTAATGTGCTTCTCGGCAGGATTCACCGATTCTTTGATTCTCCGAACATCATTATGAATATAATTAATATATACGGTATTATGCAAAGTCTGTTATTTGAAGGGCTATAAAAAAGAAAGCTAATTTAGTGCATATTCCCCATTTACTTATCGTTCTTCGAAAATGTTCCTGCCTTTTTTTGGGTAAACCAATATAAATATGACCGTTCTTTACTCCCCGAATTTCAGTCACAGCAGCTCAGCCATCCAAGAGATATTTGAAGCTAGGGAAGGCTAAAGGAAGAATACCTCGAAATGCATTTGATGAGGGAATTAATAATGGTTGTGTGCCTGGCGACCTTTGCCAGCGGTGGGTAGCTCCTTAAGTTTTATATGTATGGTATTTTTGAACATTCTTTGCTTCGTAGCTTCCCCAAACTTTCGCATCCTTGGTCGCCAGCGGGAGGATTCCGCCCAGATCGCCTCAATTTTAAACGCCCTGGCTGAAAATGCAAATGCCCGTGCCCAAAGCACCACGGCGGCACCCACCACCACCACGGTGCCCAGCACCACCACCGTGACCAACTCGCCCTCCGGACCAACCACCTCGACCGGAACCTCCACCACCACCACCACACCCACCAACACTAGCCCCACAGGTAACGAAAAAGTCACTGCCCCCTTTAAACGCCGCTCAGTTGATCCGGAGGACTACGATGATATCGATCATCGTTTCCAGCTGGAGGATCCCTACGATGAGGAGGAGCAGCACCACCGGAAGCGGATGCAGCAGAAGAGGCGTCGGCAAAATCGCCAGAATCACAGATCCCAAAGGAGAAGACCGATTAGGAAACACATCATCCGTCGTTTAGCTTAGGACACCAATAAAAGAGAATAATTAAAAAGTAGTTTTAGCTGACTTTTAAATGGGTTGGGAAAAGAGATCAAGGGGACCAGTTACAACCCTAAAGCTATCTGAACTCCATTTATGGATCATACACTATTTGAAAAACATAGACTGATCGAAGCGATCACTTCCATATCAGCCAAACAATTAAAATATTGAACATAGCTTAAGGCCCCGTAGCTATAGCTAAGTTTAAGTTCGTCTGTACATTTTACATTATATATTATTGGGCTATTAGCCCAATATCTTTATCGTTTAATTATGCGCCCTTTCTTTCGTGTCAATGTATGGGAAGCCACTAGAATCCATATAAATATGCCCTGCCCTAAACCCTAGAAGTCAGTCATAGCAGCTCAGGCATCCAAGCTAATTTTGGGAACTAAGGAGCCATAGGATAAATACCTCGAGATGCATCTGATGAGGGAATTACTCATTTTTGTGAGCCTGACTGCCTTTGCCAGCGGTGGGTAGCCCATTGAGTTTTGTAAAAGAAGAAATCACTCTAAAAAGTATAACATACAATTTTTTAACCCGTAGCTTACCAACACTTTCGCATCCTTGGACGCCAGCGAGATGATTTCGCCGCCGAAGGACCCATTTTCTCCTCCAAGGTCTCCGTAATCCTAGAATCAATGGGTCGCAACAACAAAGCAGCAGCAGCACCTACCACCGCCGGCATTGAATCCTTTGTCACAACTTACCCTTCCCCTACATCCCCCACAACAAGCACAGATGCCTCCGCACCCACCTACACCGACTCCTCGCCCAGCCCCTCGCCCAGCCCCTCGCCCACCCCCTCGCCCTTCGCATCCACCGCACCCTCCGCACCCTCCGCACCCAGCACCCCCACCGACCCGTCCAGCCCCTCGCCCAGCCCCACGCCTGACAGTCTTCAGCAGCCCATCGATGAGCAGGAGGACGACGACGAGGAGGAGCCGGAACAGCAGGTGGAGCAGCACCACCAATTCCAGCTGGAGGATCAGCACGACGACGCCGAGGTGGAGGAGGTGCAGCACCACCAGAACAGCCGCCGCCGCCAGGCAAACGCCCGCCGCCAGCGCCAGCGGCTACAGCGGAAGTACCGCCGCCACAAGCAGCAGAAGCGTCGCCAGGAGCAGCGTCGTAAAAAACAGCAGACCCAGAATCGCAGGCTTAAAAACCGCCACAATCACAGATCCCAAAGAAGAAGCAAATATGGGAAGCGCATCATCCGCCGCCTAGCCTAGGATACTAAGAAAAAGAATAAATTCAAATGATACTACCTATACCTATCATCAAATATTTAAAAAAAAATTATTTATCGTATAAGCTAGCTAACAAGAAATTCAAAAATAGAAGGAAGAGTTTTCGAACCTATAAAGTATATATATACTCTTGATCAGGATCACTAGCCGAATATCTCGAGATCTCGGAAACTGTAAAAGCTAGAAAAAAGAATGCAGATTCTAGGGATTCCTGGGCAAGTATTTTTTATCGCGGTGCCACGCCCCCTTTAAAGACTACTAGCCCACTTTAACTCCCACAAACTCATGTATACCTCGCATGGTCAGTGGTAAATTGGTTAGCTGAGTAATATATAAATATATTTTGTGTGTATCTCAAAGCCCTCACTGATATAATATATGTATATTTCTTTTACTTAATAAATTTATTAATTTATTTATCTTTCACCGATTCCGAATGTCTTTCTTGGCAGGATTCTCAGTGATTTTCAGTGGATTCCGATCAGAACGAAATATAGAGATATATATATATAGAAATATAGACGACGAACGTTTCTTCACCGCCCAGATCTCCGCCGCCCTAAACGAAATGAATCAAAACATTGGCACCAATCCCACCTTCTCGCCCACAATCACCACCGTCATCCCAACAACCACCACCACCAGGAGAAGAAGTGCCGGAGACGTGGACCGGACCTCCAAACGACACTCAGTTGATCAGGAGGACGACGATGAGGAGGATCACAGTTTCCAGCTGGAGGATCTCTACGAAGACGAGAAGAGGAAGCGAATGCAGCAGAAGAAGCGTCGCCAGCAGCAGCGTCGTAGAAAACAGCAGGCCCAGAATCGCAGGCAGCTACAGAACCGCCAGAATCACAGATCCCAAAGGAGAAGCCCGAATAGGAATCGCATCATTCGGCGTTTAGCTTAGGGCGGGATTTTCCAGAAACTACAAATAATAAATGACAATGATGCAATAATTTTTCCAGATTTTTAAATGGGTGGGGAGATCATCCCTTTGTAGGTCGAAAATATATAATATATCTTAAAAACCATGTTTAAGGATCACCAAATACCCAAAGCTAATCGAAATGATCATGACCTTGAATAAAATACAGTTTTACAGTATTTCTAGTGGTTTATTAAATAGGCTGGGAAAAGATTATATATTATTATTATTATCAAACTAAAAATATCGACCTTCTTTAATATGCTCTTTTAAACAACAGGTATCCCTATATTTTAAATAATTAAATTTAAGTAAGAGCTATACAAGGCTATGGTTATTAAACCATTGTAAAATAAAAGATTATTTCCACTTGTAAATCTTTTTAATTTTTTAAAAGAGATATTTGTTTTTATCCAATTAATTTAAAAATCTCTGGAATAAATTAAAAAATAAATAAGGAAAGCATTAACGCTCACAAAATAATATTTTATATACCTATTTAATAAAAAAGATATATATATAAATAAAAGAAGTTTTCCCATTTGTAAATATTTTTAATTTTTAAAAAGAGATATTTTTGTTTTCCTTTAATTAATGTATGATTTCTGGAAAAATTTAAAAAATAAATAAGAAAATCATTTATGCATACAAAATTTAAGTTTTAAGAAATCTTCATTTTAATTTCGTACATTTTGTATATATTTCGTAACCATTCTAAAATAAAAGGTTATTCCCATTTGTAAATGCATATAATTTTCAAGAAGAGATATTTTTTTATTTAAAGAATATATAAGAAAAGAATTAATGCATACAAAATTTAGGTCGTTAGAAATTTTTATTTAAATTGTGTAAATATTTTTTACAAGGAAAGAATCAAAACTTTAATGGAAACTGTTTTACGTTCACAGTTTAAGAAAACAACATTTTTGGTATTATCCTTTATTAATTTTTTTTTTACTTCTACTACTTGTAGAAAAATTATTACGAGCTATAAAGACTCAAAATAAGCTTAGGCACTGTTTTGATATATGTTTCTTTGTTAATTGTTGTTCTACAAAATAAGCAGTTACACTCGATTATAATTCAATATTGATAGCACTCCATAACAGCCAAGTAACCAATGGTTAGGCCCAATATGTTTTCTAATCCGAATCGGTTTTTATCAATCACCCGCCAATTGATGCGAAATACTACAGCGAACTTTGGCGAAAAAATGTCGCACGGGTCAAACTAGTTCAACGATCGAACTGTCGAGCGGCCAACGAAATTTATGCAAAATCTTTAGCGAATGTGCAAATTTGCGAAAAAGAAATGATAATGAGAATTATGTTCGCGGAATGGTATCTGGGCTGTTTGGTTGTTGCTAGAACCGTAACTGGAGCGTTGGGTATATAACCCCGGCTGGCCGCTGGCAATATCACAGTCCACCGGCGACCTTCCCCCAGGCACAGTCCACAGTACCATCCCAAAGCCATCCAGTTTCGGTTCAGTTGAGGAAGTCAGGAACCCTATTAGGAAACCAATCCCAAGATGAAGTTCTTCTACGGAGCTCTGCTGGTGCTGGGCACAGCAATGATTGCCCAGGCGGCCGGTGAGTTCTGATCTCCAGAGATCTATTTCAGCCCGAAAAAAATGATTATATTAAATATATACCCTTCTATTCTCCAGTGGCCCGCTCCAACGATGAGACCGAGGAGGAGTCCGCCCAGCAGACCAAGTACCGCCTCTTCAAGCAGCCCGTGCAGATCGAGGCGCGCAGCTTGCAGCAGCTGATGGCCCTGAAGCAGCCCGCCTGCCCTCCGGCCAAGCCCACTGCCCCCACCACCACCACCACCGCGGGACCCACCACCACCACGGTGACGACCACGCCCACGGGACCCACCACCTCGACCGGCACCTCCACCACCACCACCACCCCCACCACGAGTGGAGCTGCCACTGGAACTGGTACTGGCACCTCTCGAATGATCAACCTCAACCACCCGGTGAACGAGGAGGACGAGGACGATGACGAGGAGTTGGCCCATGGCGAGGAGAAGTACCTCAAGGACCAGGAGGACGACGACGACCAGGAGGACGACGACAACGAGGACGATGGCTTCCAGCTGGTGGCCGCCAAGGCCCAAGGCTCCTCCTCCACCTCCGGCCTGCGCCGCCGCGGCTCCTCCTCCTCCTCCTCCTCCTCCAGCGGCAACCTGTCCAACAGCCAGCTGATGCGCGAGTTCGAGCTGCGCCGCCAGAAGGACCTGAACGAGCAGCTGCGCAAACAGCTGTCCGCCGCCCGCCGCCGCACCGTCCAGAGCCGCCGCCGCCAGCAGCAGAAGCGCCGCCAGAACCGCCGTCGCCAGCAGCAGAAGCGCCGCCGCCTGTCCCGCCGCAACCAGAAGCAGCGCCGCAACCAGAACCGCCGCCACCGCAACGCCAAGCGCCGCCAGCGCCGCAACAACCGCCTCAGCCGCCTGCGCCAGCGTCGCCGCCAGCGCCGCAACCGCAACCGCAACTGAGCGTTGACCCCATGACCCCCGAATGAACCCCTTGTTAATCGGATTCAATAAAGCGAATATATAACACAAAAAAAACAACAACGACTCTATCACTTCTCTGGGGGAACTTCCTAATATATCCCTTGTATCCTTTCAATTCTTTTATATCCAACATCTCATTGATATCCATAATATCCAAAATATTTATTTATCCACATCCATCATTTTTATTATAATTCATTAAATCCTTGATATCTATATCCATAATATCCATTTTATTCAATATCAGTTATATCAGTTAACCGCAACTGAACGATGACCCCATGACCCCCGAATGAACCCCTTGTCAATCGGATTCAATAAAGCGAATATATGTATAAAACAAAAAAAAAAAAACAACGACTCAATCACTTCTCTGGGGGAACTTCCTATTATATCCTTTCAATTCTTTTATATCCAACATCTCATTGATATCCATAATATCCAAAATATTTATTTATCCACATCCATCATTTTTATTATAATGCCCATACCCATCATATTCATTAAATCCATTTTATTCAATATCATCATTATCACTTGATATATTTTAATCATTTTTATATATTTTTTATGCATTTGAAGAGAAATATATAGCTTAACATTCCATTGCCTCTAATTACGTTTCATTATCCAATTGGCAAATAAAATACTTTTGATCACTACAATAGAACCTACGCATACTAATGTTATCCATCATAACGCAGATACCATTACTGTCGGGTTCTCCCCCCCACCACTTAAAAGCTGTAGCAGGCTTCCCGGAGGCCGTAGATATGAACTTTCCATCTTCCTTCAAATGCTTGATGCCAGTCCAGTACCAGCAACACACTCTATGAAGTTTCGGCATTATGGCTGCGAGTTCCTCTTGGGTTTTAAAATTCGCCAAATAGCCGCCCATTTCTCGACATGTTCCTGCAGCCTCATCCCAGGTTTTCTTAATATCATGTTCGATATAAAAATATCTAGATCCAATACGCTCAAATTTCGGATAATTGATCTTATAATAAATTGTGGAAGGGATTTCCAGAAGGGTTTTCTGAAAGGCCGATAGTTGGTTATTTAGCTCCAGAAGTTGGTTTTCAGTTTTGTTTTGAAGCTCCTTTAGTTGGGCCTCCATTTTGGTCACGAGCATCCGTAGTTGTCCCTCCGTTCCATTTAATCTCGCCTCAAAGAAATCAAAATGGGCTGTTTTCTGGTCCCCTAGCTTTTTATTTACCTCCAGAAGTTGGGCATCCATCTTGGTTTGCATGGATGTCTCCTGGTCTGTCATTTTGGCGAGAAGCAACTGAAATTGGTTCTTCATATCGGAATTTATCGCGATAAGTTTATCTTCCAGCTTAACCTGAACCACCAAAAGTTGTGCATCCAGTTTGGTTTGCATGGATTTCTTATGATTTTCCATTTTGTTAAGGACCAACTGAAATTCATTCTTGATTTGCGAATTCTTCAGGGATTCCACTCCTTGCTCAATCCGATCCAGCTTCACCTGGCTGTGGAAATTGTCGTCGATAAGAGGATGCAGTGCGGACAGGCAGAAGGCTCCACACTGATTTGGAGCATCGGTAAGTAGGCAGATGGAAGAATCATTATCCTGGAGGGCGCTCAAACGACCGAAGTAATTCAGGACGAAGAAGAAAGGCACGAAATATATCATTTCGATGTATTATTACTGCTCGAAGCGAACATTTAAAGCGTTCTGAAAATGATTCGACTTCTTGCTAGAAAGGAAACCTTAGGAATTGGTGATAGGGCGCCGAAGGCTGTCAACAACTTGTGTCAGCACTGATTAGAATTAGAATTATAGGAAGAGTCAACAACCTGCATATGCTGATTTCAGTGTTTTTGCATGCGATCTATCTCTACTGTACAGTAAAGCCGATAAAGACGAAGTCGCTGGAAATTGGTTTTAGATAACTGCCATTAGATTACTGCAAGTAAATAAAATAATATAAATATTAGAGAGCACTATAGTCGAGGGGCTTCACTACCAGAGATGGAGGGAGATGGAGGTATGGAAGATACAAAGCGACACCTAGCGGCCAAGTCTTTCATTGCTCATAACTTTAAAAAAAATGGTCCAATGTAAACCGTTTTTGGATGTGTATATGGGTAATGATAAACGAAACATATCTTATTTACACTTTTACAAAATCTTAAAAATTTAAAACAGAATTGGGCAGAATTCCAATATTTTTAAATTATATCATATTAAGATATTTTGTTGAGATAACTTCAAAAAAATATATTAAGTCATGTTGCTAAAAAAATTCTCTGATGTCTTCTCTTTCTGTGAAAAATCTAAATTCAAAGAAATTAGTAATCTTCATCCTACTTTTTATAGATTTTTTGAAATATATTTCACATATTTCTGAGCTAGATTGAATGATTATAAATAATATTTATTGCCATTAGTCAATTTTTTAACCCCCTAAAAACTATTATTATTTTCTACATATTCAAAATATATATAATATACATTGAAACCCGTGAGGCGCAAGTTGCGGCACTTTGTGGGTCACTTTCGCAGGCTGTTGTGGGCCACCTTCGACCCATGGGCTTCAATTAGAAATCAATTTGAATGGATTTTCACTTTTTTCAGCCCACTCCAGCGAGAGCCCAAGGCGCTGCAGAGACCAGAGAATCCGAATACGAAATCAGAGATCAGAAATCAGAAATCAGAAATCATAAACCGAAAACCCGAAACCCAAACCGAAACCCAGGCGTTCCGCTTGGTAGAAAAGCCCATGGGATGACCGGCAGAATGATGACGGCGGAGAATTTGGAGAATATGAACAATATAGCTGGCAGCGATCTGCCGCAAATCAATTGAATTTCAATTGTGTACACAGTTTTACCGTTTTGGCACTTACGATCGATTTGCATTCCAATGGATTTGCCGGGACTATAAAAGCGCTCGCTGCCGGCCGATAAAGTATCAGAGCCTGATTGTCCAGCCAACGGCGAGCAACAGAAAGTCACATTTTGGTCCACCCGAAAAGTTCTCTTCTCTAGCCAAGTAGAGTAGTTTCCAAGGAAGATCTAAAGAAAAATCTCGAGAAATCTTAAAACCAAAATGAAGCTGTACTTAGCCTACGCAATCCTTTTGGCCAGCTGCCTGCTGTTCGCACAGGCGGCTCCCGAGAAGAAGAACAGCCTGGCGCAGAAGTCGCGTCAGGCGGAGCAGGCTGATGCCAAGCTGGGTGGAGTGGCCGGATCATCATCCTCTTCCCCAGCTGGAGCCAAGGATCCCTCCAGCGGGCGGCTGTTCCTCAAGAAGTTCCTGACCTTCAAGAACCTGTTCAGCAGCAGCAACCAGCCGGTGATCCCGATCATCATCACGGGCGCCGGCACAGGAACGACCACGGGAACGACCTCGCCCACCTCGCCCACGGTGACGGTGACCTCGACGGGCACCATTCCCTCGGCCACGGGCACCATCACCACCTCGCCGACCACCACCTCGCCCACCACCACCTCCACGGGCCGACGCACGGTGATCAAGGGCGCCCGCTACGGCAGCCAGGACCAGGAGGAGCAGGAGCAGGGGGAGCTGGAGGACCAGAAGGACCAGGAGCAGGCGGAGGACCAGGAACTGGACCAGGCCGCCCAGATGCCCGCCCAGGCCTATCCCGCCGACCTGATGGACGAGCAGGCTCTGCAGGCCGCTTTGGCTGCCGGCGCCCAGGAGTACGAGGTGGTGACCACCGACCACGAGCTGCAGGGCACCGGAGGCTCCTCCGCCGAGGGCGCGAAGGCCACCCAGTCGAACAGCAACACGATTAGTTTGAGGCGCAAGGGCGCCCGCCGCGGCCAGGTGATCAGCGTCCGCATTCCGCCCCGGTACCGCCGCTACTTCAAGAACGGCCAGAAGGTGATGCTCAACACCGGCAGTCGTCCGGGCTCCAAGCGCCGCGTCGTCCGCAAGCGGGTGCCCGCCAAGAAGGTCAACAAGGGCAACAAGCAGAACAACCGGCGGCGCAACGGCAACAAGAAGAACCGTCGCAACCGCAACAAGAACCGCCGCAACCGCCTGACCGCCGTCTAGGGATCGCGATCGAGGGACTTCCACGATATCCGACTTCACGACTTCGGGGGATCCGGATTCGATTCCGGCCATCCACACGAGCATGAGCATTTTTTTTTTCTAATTTATTGTAGCCTAACTTGCGACCGCCACACTTCCTGCGGCAGGATATACCATTAATAAAGCCCTTTCAAAAGTAATACAGCTGTTTTATTACCTATTCTTAAATAATTCATAGAACAAATAATATAAGTGAAAGTACATAAAATTCCAATAGCAATCCTTTCTTCTAAAAAAGTAAAATATTAAATCTTTAACAATTCTGAAAATAAAATAACATCTCTTTATTCTACAACCCTTTCTCATTATACAATTAAATTCTTTGCATAACACACTTTAAGAAATTAGAAAAAGAAATTAAGAAAGATTTTTGTTTATAAAATGTCCCAATTGCATTTTAACATTTAAAAAAATTTGTAGTAAAACAGTGTAAAAATAAACGAAAAAACCAAAAAAAAAATTTTAATGAACAATTCTGAGCTTTAAGAAAGTAAAAGTCAACTTCATAAATTATACAGATTACAGAAAAAATTTTTATTAAAATGGTGCAACCAGCAGCAAACAATTTAACTAAACAAATTAATAAAGGTCGCAAGGAAATCGTGCGTAAAACAAAAATATTATAAAATACATAAAAATTAAAGCTCTAAAATTATGTAAAAGAGCTACGCCCATACAAAAAAGTAATCTAATTTATTGCACAAACTTTCGACCTTAATAACTTTTTAAAGAAAATATAATGTTCTAATTTAAAAATGAAAATAAATAAATAACCCAATTCCGACAAGGCCTATAAACCATATAAACTTTCAATCAAAGCTAGATAAAATATATATTCTCCCATAAACTACAAATAGTTCACATACGTTTTTAACCCACATTTGGGCACATCATCCATAAGATCTGGGGTCACAGCGATCAAGTACCCGGCCAGAGATCAGCGATCGTTGATCTCCAGAAGCAAAAAAAAAAAGAACACTAGCACAATATCTTGTGGCCAGTCTCCTTTATGGGCATAGAAGTAGAATCGGGCAAAAAGTGCGTACTTGACCCACATTTCTGCCCAGAGATCGGCAAAGAGATCAGATCGTGACGAATGATGGGGCACATTTTTTCGGGTATTTAAGCGGCCGTTTGGCCCGCGGCAATGGACAAACATGGCTGGACAGCTGCACAGATTTCTGATCGTACTGATCGCCGCCTCGGTCTGGGCCCCTTCGATTCCTGAGATCTCTGCCAAGAGCTGTGGATCGCGGCTCCAGTTGCGATCCCAGAACGATGCCATCGATCTCAGTCGGCTGAGCGAGAAGCAGCTGCAGCAGCTCCTCCAGCAACTGGCCACCTTGCAGACCCAGAACCCCAAGGAGGAAGATGGCGATCCGTCGGAGGAGGACGAAGATGCAGGGGAGGATAGGGATCAGGAACTGGAGGACCCCGAGAACGATCATCGCGGGGGCAGTCGTCCGTGGAACCGGGTGCAGAGGATCATCCGGCGGCAGCTGGTGAAGATACCCAAGAGATATCTCAAGAAGTTCCTCAGGCAGTTCGGATTGGCCAGGAGTGCAGGATATGACGGATATGTCGGAGTCAGGAGCACCGATATGCAGCCCCAGCTGAAGGAGTACTACCTGATACCCCTGCAGTGAAATATATGAAGGGGAAACGCACACACAACTTGGATTTCGTAGCAGTCTTTTGGGCTTTAAAAGATGACTAAGTATTGGTTGGCTTGGAACCTTAGCTTTAGAATGAAGAAAATAATTTTTAAAAATTCCACAGTTGTAAAACATTAACCTTAATGTTATTTGAAGAGTACATTTAATTTAAGAGAATTTTTTTATAATATATATATTATTTTTATAATATTTTGTATATTTTGTACACTGAATATATTTTGCTTTAGTCAAATGTCTCGACTATCAAATACTCATTAATCACTTAACTTTTTAATGAGTGGTCCGATTAAAAACTCGAGATATAAGTGAATGCACGGACATCCCAAAAAAGAGCTAAAACATAAAATGTCCAGGTTTAAATGCCAATGTTAGGTCAAAAACTAATATTTTTTTTTGTTAAAAATTGAGAACTCGTCGTTTGGTAAAAATTTTAATTTTTTTTTGGTTTTTTTGCTGTAAATTTGCCAAAAATGGTCCTATACCAAAAATACAAACTGTTTGAATTAGATAACAAAATAATAAATAAATCCATGACACTTTCCAGGTGATCTTGAAAAAATAAAATTTTCGCAAATTTCCTATTTTTTTTATAAGGGGGTACATCATGGCTTTTTACGAAAAAAGGCAAAAAAATAAAATGTCCAGGTTTAAAAACCAATCGATGGGAAATTTAATTACGAGTTCAGAAAGGTATGACAATCCATATTTGGATTAATATTTCCATTGTTACGGTAAAAAACGAATTCACGAAATTTGGTAAAAATTTAAATTGTTGTCTTTTTGTTTTTTGCTGTAACTTGCCCAAAAATGGTCGTACACCAAAAATACATACTGTTTTGAACAGATAACAAAATAATAAATAAATCCATGACACTTAATAATTAATTTAAAACTGTGAACAAAACTTGAATCTTATCCGGCTAGCGCAATATCAAATAAATAGATTAAAAAATACAAATCTTAGTAATTACATACTTCTCCTTTTAAAAGAAGACCAAGCCTAAAACTATGTTTGAAAAATAAATGTTTGAAGAGCTTTGCATGATCTTTGTTCTTAATTATCTAGTTATGGTTCCACCGCAAAGCTCTGACAACGATCGTGGGCTGTAGCTTTCCACCACTTATGTTTAGTATATGTATAGCTTATCAGCTTTTGCACAGCTGTTTTGTTGGCCGGCGATAATTTAGTGAGATTATATAGTTGTCACACGACGTTCAGGGGGAAAACAAGTGTTTACCGAGCTATTTGTGGACCAGAAGCCGAGAATGTCAGGAGTGCTAGCCGGAAAAGTGGCCCTGGTGACAGGTGGGTGTGTACCAAAAGTTCCAGGAAAAATGATATATAATCAAATATTAAATTTAAGGTGCCGGTTCGGGAATCGGAAGAGCCACCTGCCGCCTTTTGGCCAGGGATGGGGCCAAGGTGATCGCCGCGGATCGCAATCTCCAGGCGGCCCAGGAAACCGCCCAGGAACTGGGCTCCGATCGCTCGGCCGCCCTCGAGGTGGACGTCTCCTCCGCCCAGAGTGTCCAATCCTCGGTGGCCGAGGCGCTCAAGAAGTTCCAGCAGGCGCCCAGCATTGTGGTCAACTCGGCCGGGATCACTCGCGATGGCTATCTGCTGAAGATGCCCGAGAGGGACTACGATGACGTGTACGGGGTGAATCTGAAGGGCACCTTCCTGGTCACCCAGGCCTTTGCCAAGGCCATGATCGAGCAGAAATTAGAGAACGGCAGCATTGTGAACCTCTCGAGCATCGTGGCCAAGATGAACAACGTGGGCCAGGCCAACTATGCGGCCACCAAGGCCGGCGTCATCTCCTTCACGGAAGTGGCCTCCAAGGAGTTCGGCAAGTTCGGCATCCGGGTCAACTGCATCCTGCCCGGCTACATAGACACGCCCATGGTGGCGGTGGTCCCCGATTCGGTGAAGCAGCAGGTGGTGCAGCGCTGTCCGCTGGGCAGACTGGGCCAGCCGGAGGAGATCGCCGAGGTCATCGCCTTCCTGGCCTCCCCCCAGTCGTCCTACGTCAACGGGGCCGCCATCGAGGTCACCGGGGGCCTTAAGTGAGATCGGTAAATCAGGAGATCCATACATATACATAAACCATCTCTTATAACTCGACAGTTAAATTCCTGTGGGTAAGAACAATTGTTTACAGCTGTTTTCAGCGAGTTATGAAAGGTGGTTTGTGTATTTTTATAGGGGTGGGGCCACAGAACATTGCATTTACTTGTCCAGCCAGCCGATAAAGTTTGTTCCTAAATATACGTAGCAATTTCAACAGGTGGTTTTTATTATTTTTTTTGACTAAAATCTTATTATATATAATCTATATTATCTCAGTTTTCCTACATATTAAGAACTATCAAATTAAATCCAAAAACATGTTCTTCAATCAGAACTTTGACCTTATACCTGTTGCTCTTGTCTCCAAAATGAAATAACGCCATCTATGGGTGATCTTTGTGTTGAATTGCAGAGCTTTTTAGACCATCGATATAATTAATTAACATAATTAAAGAAAAATATATATAAGCCTTAAAAATAGCTTATTTTAGTTACTTTATTAAAATATAATATTATTAATATACTAACTATACTAAATACGCTAAGTTCATATTGGTATAAATAAAACATAAGTTTTATGAAGAATCCTAAAAGTATGCCAATAAAATTACAAATATGAAGTAACGTTCAGTTTTTATGTTAGTTTAAAAGTCAGATCTATTGGGAATTTCGTAATCCAACTCTTAACGATGTATGACAATCTAAATTTCGATCATTATTATTTTTATTTGTTTGCCAAAAATACATTTTTTTTACTAACAACCTAATAGATTAATGGCCGACGCTATCCGGATAATGAAAAAGAATCACAGCTATTTTTTTAAAGACCCCTAGAAGTATTCCTAAAAAAAAAAAATAAAAAAAAAACACCATGTTCAAATATTTGTGGCATAACCATTTACTTGATTGATTATCCTTATCTGCATGGTGTGTACTCACATTCGATCAGCAGTTGGGAATCAGAAATCTATGCTCTACTTGGCGAAACCACCGCGATATCCCATTCCCATTTCCATTCCCATTTCGATTGACCACAAAAGGACCATCGAAGTGGGAAATGGAATGTGCGACACGGCTTGTTGTGGTTTATCGGCGGGCCTTTTGGGTGGCTATTTGGTATTTGGACCCACCGAAATGTACAATATTAATATATTTCACAATTCCCCAGCTGCTAATTAACTCAGTCGCTCACACACACACGCACACAGTCGCACGGGGAGATATATGCATGTCACATGTACATATGTGTTTGAGTGGTTCGGGGTGTTTTGGGGTGGTTTTGGGTGGTTTGGGGCCTCGGTTTTCCGCCTCTGTGGTCGTGCGTGCAATTTAAATAATGAAGACATTTTATTAATTCAAGAAATTCAACTCTCCCATACTGGCCACGCACACAGAGACACAAAGGCACCCACACACACATAGAGCAGCAATTACAGTGGCCACCCGACATTAAGCAACCTCCAACCACCGACACCACCGCATAAAGGCGCACACAAAACTTGCCAGCCATTTTGGGGTTAGGGTCGACGGGCGGAAAAACCACCCACCGAACCACCCAACCACCAGCTGCTAGCTGGTGCGTTTCCCATTTCCTTTGGTTTTTAGTGCATAGTGAAAAACAAAACATTTGCTAATCATATGAAGCGACCCTGGGCTGCCGCTCTTTTTATGCACTCAAAAAAATAAGTATATTTTTAGACCTTTCAAAAATAAGGGAAATTATATATTAATCACTTTTATACAGTTTACTTGTGAATAAATTAACATGAACTATTATTTCATATATCACTATAAAATTGAAGCAATGATTGTTTTGGGTATATTTTCAAAATATGCCAAAAAAACCTAGAATATAAAAATAGTTAAAAAATATTATAGTTAAATTCCTGGAAGGATATATAAAATACCTATTTTTTAAGAATATTACAAATAAATTATAAACAACTAGGCTACCTATTTATTAAGGGTGTACAGTAATTTCTATAGTTTTAAATAAGCTAGTAATAACCAAAAATAAATTTTAATAAAGTATTTATAAATTAAATTGTAATTAAAGAACTTATTTTTTTTTACTTTACTTTTTTTCTCTTTCTTAAAACGAACTAGGTCTATGATTTCTCCGAGTGCAGTCAACCACCTGTCCCTGTCGCTCCTTCGACCACTCTCTTTGTAGCAATTAACAACGCAGTGCGACACAAGCGGCGACGACAAGCCAACACTTGAGCCATAAACCAGCCCAACACGACCCCCGGAACGACCCCAAAAAACCCGAACCCCAAAGCCCCGAGTCCCCATAACCCATAACCCTCAAGCTCCCACCCCCCGCCACCGAAAAAACCCTCGACTTCGGAGCGACCAGCGCTTTGGCACTTGCCATATCTCATGTTAATGAAATCGTAACTCTTCGGGCGCCTCGTGTCCGTTTTTTGTGCCACCTCCAGTCCTGTTCGAAAGCAAAAAACAAAAAAAGAAGGCATCCAAAAAGGAGCCGAGGGAGCCGAAAGCCCGAAAGGATGTTGCATCGCCGAGTGATTAACGCGCCGGCAGAACTCCGCACGACTTCACGGACAATGGGAATTGGAGTTCCTGGAGGCGGCGCCGCAGAACTTGGCCAATTGTCAACGAGTTGGGCTCAGAAAGTGGCGAAAAATATCCCAAAGAATTTTTCTATGCAAGCAAAAAATGTGTAAAATATTCGTAAGGGATCTTGAAAAATATTAAAAAAAATATGTAGTTACATACAATTCGTTAAAATATTGTATTGTTATTTATTCGTTTATTATTATTTTTTATATATATTTATTTTGATTTTTACTCAAGACTTTTAAATGGTTTTTAGTCCCGGGAACTTTTCTAAATTTAAATAATATTAACAATATAATTAATCAAATTTGTATTGGGTTAACTTTAATTTAAAGCGATAGCCCAGGGGTACATTTTCCAGAAAGGGTCCTCAAAAGAAGTGCAACTAATGTCAGGTGCTCTAGCTTTACTTTCACCAGTCTCTTGACATTTGCCGACTCACGTTAGTTTCAGTTTTCGAGAGTTTCCTCTTCGCTTTTCCAATGAAAAAAAAAAACGCTAATTAACACAGCCAACCGCAATTGCAACTTCCTTCTGGCTAAGTGCACGTATGTTCGAGCCACCCCCCGAGCCACCCGAAGCACCCCACCACCCCCAGAAACCCCCACAACCACCGCCCCCAGCGAGCCACGTGTGACAGCGAGGGTCGTTCGGTGACAAAGGGCAACTAATTTAGTTTAATGGGCGTCGTGCGCGACTTTGTTGCCCACAGCCGCAGAATTTCTTGCGGCCAACACTTGCCTCAAGGGGCGGCGAAAAAGGGTCCTGAAAGGGGTAAGGGGAGGGGGAGGGGGTAGTGAAAGGGGTCAGGGGCCAGTGGGTGGATCGGTGGGTGGATGGGCGGTTGGGCCACCCTTACGCACTCTCATTAAGCATTTTTAGTCGAGCTTAGCGAGCCGTTTGTTTGCACTGTCAACTTCACAACTCTGGTCAACGGCACTGAAAAAAAATATTAAGCGCACAACAATGTGTAGAAAACAAAAACATTCAGTTCTTTGGCAAGAAATATTAAATGTTTATCAAAAACCAATTTTGAGTAATGTGAATATTTATTTTGAATATAATTTTGATTATTATTTTTAATGTTTATCATTGTCAATATTCTTGATAAAAACGATTATTTGTATTTTTACTTATGGCGTAAATTCAAATCATTTTAAAATACGAGAAATATACCTACCCTTTGCCAAGTTGGCTCCACTGAAAAGAAAATGTCCCCAATTGAATCCGATTTTTTTTGCAGTGCACTATGGCAGCTCTGACAACTCCGAGGCGACTTGCCATAAATTAACACACATGACTGGCGGTGGTGGTGGTGGTGCAAGTGGTGCCAGTGGTGGAACATTTTCATTTCACTTTTGTTTGTTTGATTTTTGGCTTTTTGCAGCTAGCTGACAGTTGGTCCTTCCGACCTGGGCAAATTAAAAATGTTTTCTGCCACCCCCGCAGGCCATCCCCTTTTATTTGTCTTTCGTCTTTGATGTCCAACTCCCAATTCGTTTCGTTTCTGTTTCTGTTTTTTTTTGTTTTCAATAAATTTTTATTCAGTTTTTTGTTTTTCGTGTTTAACTTTGTGTGTGTTTTATGCTGCTTATTTGCTTTTATCATTTGCATTTTGTAAACAAAAAAACATTTGTATGTTTCGCGCTTAATTGGCGACACTAATAAAATACCCACAGCTAATAAATATAGCAAAAAAGGGGGAGTAATATTTAGTTTTGTGGATTCGGGTTTCGGGATTCCTTAGACGAAATACGCTCGCTTATCAAAATATAATGCTTAGGGCTATGAAAAAAAATGCATGTATATATATCTAGGGCTAGGTCTATATTTTAAATATGCGTGTGTATCTTTAGTTAGGCTACAACTAGGATAATTAGACCGTTATACACTTAGAAGTACACTTAGCACAATTGAACTGACGAATTGAATACGTTTACGCTCTTCTCTCTTTTTTGTTTTTTTTTTTGTCCTTTTTTTCTATTATTTTCATGGGCGTTTTGAGATGTATGGGCGTGTCATAAGTTAAGGCGACTGTCAAGATCTAGCTTCTATATTTATTTAACCGTAAAACGCACTATCGAAGTCTAAGTTCTAGCTTAGAGTTTCGGGGCGAGAAAAGATAATGCTACATAATTCAGAAGAAGTTGATGGGGGGGCGTGGCACCGATCTGAAGGGCTGTCCACCCCCGACTTAAATACTATCAGGTACTTTGGCATTTCGTTTGCTTACTCGCTAACCATTCAACTGAATGTCTTTATGCTTGTATATAGATTCTTTAACGTTTAGCATATACTATATACTATGTCTGTGTATACATAATTGAATTTGTTTTTCCTTTCATTTCTATATTTTTTTCGGGGGTTTCGGGGGCAGTTGCAAGGTTAAGGAAAGAAAAAGTTTAGGGTAGCCCCCTAAATAATAAATAATAATAATAAAGGTTAAGTTAGAGGGGGGAACAAATTTAAATATTAAAGAGTTTAACAATAGATTAAGTAGAAAAAAATCAAATGCTGAGAACAAGTTCAAAACGGTTCTCGCTGCCCCAAAAACCCAATTTTTTAACTGGAGGTTAAATCACCAATCAGTTAACCATTACATTAAGGCGTTTTCTCAACAAGCAGTAAAACTCTCTAATCTTTTTAAGTTTTTGTTCTGTAAATGCTTAACACTCATTCTTTGAAGCTTAGTCTCTCTCTAGATCGAACTGGGTATTAGCCTACTACAAGACCCTTAAGCTAAGAACACAAAAACGACAAATACGAATGAAAAAAAAATAGAGTAGCCTAGATCTAAGGACTAAAGAAATGATGATGCTACGTCGATTACGTCTATATAATCAGATGTGTGTGAGCTAAGTGCCTAAACCTAAGCAATTCGAATTTTTGGTAGCTGAAAGAACGCACCACCAACAGTGAATCCCCCCTAAAGCGGCCCCGGTTCCTTGTGAGATCAGTCTTGGCGTGGCTCAGTGGGTCGTCGTCGTCGTTGTTGGCAGTGCTGCTGGTGGCCTCGCTGGTCCACCCTAAACGGCGGTGGGCGGCGGCAGCAGCGAGGAGTTGGAGGAGCGCAGGTAGGGATTGCCGTAGATGGCGCTGTAGCGGGGATCCACGCTCAAGGCCATCGAGCTGGCGGGCACCACCACGTGGGTGGTGGTGGTGGTGGCGGAGGCCCCGTTGGCGGTGCTCTGGTTGCTGCAGCTGCCGTTCGGCGAGGAGCTCACCACCGAGGCGGTGGTCGACTGCAGGCTGGGCAGCCCGTTGTCCTGGCGGATCTCCCGCGAGCCGATGATGCTGCCCGTCAGGCTGCCGCCGCCGCTGCTGGTCAGGAAGGTCATCGGCAGGGTCGTCGTCGGCTGGTGGTGCTGGTGGTGGTGCTGGTGGCCCTGCTGCTGCTGCTGCTGCTGCTGCAACTGCAGCTGGTTCTGGTGGTTGTTCTGCAGGATGGTCGAGCTGCCGTTCGACTTCGTAGAGCAGGTGGTCAGATACTGCGGCGGCGGACTGTAGTGGGTGCTGTAGTCGCCGTAGGGCACGTAGCCGCCCGAGATGTCCACCTTCAAGTCGCTGTAGTTCGAGGTCCGGTCGCCCGCCTCCAGCTTGCAGCTCACGCCGCCGTTCTTCGTGATCTGGTGCTCGCTTATCACGTCCGCCGGCGGCAGCTTGGTGCGCTTCTTGCACTTGATGTAGACCACCACCAGGATGGTGAGCACCAGCAGGAAGGCCACCACCGAGATGCCGCCCACAATCGTCATCAGCAGGGAGACGCTCTCTGCGAAGGCACAAGGGAGGGGAAAAGCGGAAAATGCGGGTTAAAAATTATGAAATGAAATATAAATCTAAAAAAAAATCTACAAATGCTAAAAAAATTTGAAATATATTTTTTTAATTTTTTGTATTTAGAGAAGTATTTATATATTTTTATCGCATCCCTAGTTCGCTAATTTTATTTTTAAAGTTATAGTCAGAAAAATGTCACGTCCGACATCCTGAAAATCCCCGTATGCCGGAAATAATATCTTTTATTTAATACAATTTTTTAAATATTTATCCCTAAAATATACATTTATGAAATTATAAAGGAAATAATATTTTTATTAATGCAAAATATTTTATGCTTTTTTTAAAGTACTAAATAAAATTTTGTTTGCCGGAAACATGAATGAATAGCCCAACAAAATTGTTTATTTGAAAAAAAAATGTAAATAATATAATAAACAACGAGTTTTATCTAAAAACCAAACAGCTAATCAAATAAAAAATTCAAAAAGGTCTGACAAAATCGTAAATGTTTTTAACAAAAGATTTTCCCATTAAAAAAACCCATAAAATCCCTGATAAAATCCCAAATATTTTTTCAAGTAATAATAATAGTTTAAAAGTATCTAAGGGCTACTCACTCTTTGCCTGCAACTGAATCTCCGCCACATCGTTGCCATAATCGTTGACCACCGTGCAGTTGTACTTTCCATAGTGATAGGCCTGGCTGTCCCGGATGATCAGGGTGCTCTTAACGCCACCGGGAACTGCGTCCACCAGGATGGAGTAGTCGTGTCCCGATTCCGAGCTGATTTCCTGGCCATTGAAGGTCCACGAGACGTGGCGGGCACGGGGTACACTGCTCGCAAAGCACTCGATCCTGGCCGTGTCGCCCACCAATCCGTACTGCGTCCTCTGGGAGCCGATGGCTGGGGATCCCTTTAGGTAGACATAGGCATCCGCCGATATCTCGGCGTAGCCGGGAACATTAGCCTTGCAGTAGTACCGACCGGCCGTCTCGTTGCTCACACTGAATGTGAGATTGGTGCTGGTGCCGACCACCCGGTCGCTGGGATGCTGGATCCACACGATCTCCGGCTGCGGATTGCTGTCCACCTCGCAGCTGAGGGACACCACACTGCCTACGTCTGCCTCCATCGACTGAGGTCGCTGCCGGAAGCTGGGAGCATCTGTAAGTAAAATGGGGAAATTATAAAAATTAAATATTATAAAATACTAACCCCATTAAATATCGGATTCAATGGGAAAATTGTAAAAATTAAATGTTAAATATAAGATACAATTTAAAATAAATATCCTGATAATTTAATTTACATTTAACCCATAGCTTTAATTGTTACATTTAATGTGTGTTTCAATTTCTTGTTTTTCATTGAATGTTTATGTTTTCATTTAATGTGCGGTTCAATTCAGAAAATTATAAAAATGAATTATTAAATAAAAGAAACTAAGTTTTCAAAATAAATATCCTGGTAATTTAATTTCTTTAAATGTATAGTTTTAACTGTTACATATTAAATGTGCGCTACAATTTATATTGCATAATAATTTACAAACAAACAAAAAGAAACCCTCAAATAAATTCAGCCCAAGGACAACTAAATTTACACAATATTTTAAATGTTTTTATATTTTTTCCCCCTATTTTATTAGTTTTTTGACTATTTTAACCACTAAAAGACAACTTTAATTTGATTTTGCCAATAATTTGATGCCCGAAGCAGCACGATGTTGACTTATGGAAATTCACAAATGTAGGTGTCAACAATTTTCGGTCTATAAATATTTGTTTATTTTATTTTAGATTTTTTTTACTTTAACGACGATTTGTAAATACAACGGTGTAGCAATGAAATGTCAGTTGCACAAGTTTCAGTAATATAATATAAAATTTGGATAGGTTATTTATATTTTACATGTATATTTAATATACACAAAATAATTAAAATGTATGTAATATTATTATTATGCGTTAAATGATTTTAATTTAAATGCCATTAATCAAAGTTATTTGTATTGATTGTTGGCACTTTAATCACAAACAAAATTAAAGCCTTAAATAATTCAAAATTCAGGACTACTTACAGCTTATATCAAGGGTCTCGCTGTCCTCACTTTTGCCCACGGAATTCTGCACCTCGCACTTGACAATCGCGTCGTGGAACTTGCGCGTCACATTGCGAATCACCTGGAAGAGGGGGAAAAACGGGAGAGAGAGAGGGTCGATCCATGAGTTCCAGTTGCTATTAATTGTGGGAACGTTAGGCCTTTCCGGTGGCGATCTAACTGGTTCCAATAATTGCCAACATTATACAACAGCAGGGGCAGCATTTTAATCGCAATAGTTGCTCTAATTATGCGCCAGCCTGCCAAGTGGAATGCGAACCAGTTTTTTCCCCAGCCAACAGAAAATCCCGCGAGAGATGCAGGAAAATCAGAGGAGGAGCGCCACTTACCATCTCTGTCTTCTGGCCGCCGATGATCGGCTCGTCGTTTATGAACCAGCGGTACCGGACATCGCTGGGATTCGCATCTGCCCGGCACTCCAGTCGCACCTGCGAGTGCTCCACAATCCGGTAACCGGTGCCCAAATGCGAACCGCCGCTTGCGCCTCCGAGGGACGCTCCTGCTCCACCGGGCAGCGAACCCATCACGTTCACCTTCACCTTGGGCGCGTATTTAACCTGGAAAGGGAGAAAATAATGGATGATATTTCATTATTAACTATTTTATTTAATACTGGATTTAATATTAATATTTTAATTGAGATACTTTGTTGTATATGTTAAAAACTAATAAAAGAATTAATAAAATATATTTAATTTCTTCTATTAAAATTTTTCCACATGTAAAATTTATATTTATTATTTGTGAAAATTTTCTAAAACATTTTTTGAAGTAGAGTTGTGCTACACAATTTCTTTAGGCTATTGTTCTTTGGTCAAGGAATAGCCATGCATTGGCTCCAAGTTGGCCCTCATTCAGCTCAATCAGCTGGGAATCCCGACACTCCTTGGCCCGACATCTTCGTCAGGGATTTGTCAGCGCCATGGACATGTGACGCCCCCTCCTCCCCCGGTATTTCCCCAAAAAACCAGGCCAATGACAAGTGGGCTGAGGTCAGGTCTTTGTTGGCTCCTCACTTTCACACCGCCTGACGAAATGAGGGGTTCGGGACTCGGTATTTGGGGGAATGTGGATGGGCACCCATGATGGGCGCCTTTATGTCCGGGCATGAATTAGCCCGTCAGTGTCGTACCATGTCCGGCACAAAAGCCCATTCAAAAAATACTATCCCCCGGCTTGCAGCTGTCCTCGGGAAAGTCGGAAGAGTCGAAAGAGTCGGAGGAGCCGGGAAGAAAGGGGACCGACACTTCCGCATCGCCTCGCATCACGTAAAACTGATAGCAGGCTCTCACTCTTTCGCCCCGTTCATACTATAGATAAGGTAACCTCAGCCTGCGGCAGCAGGATACACTCGAAAAAGTTCGGATGAACTCGAGGGGGTTTAGAAAATTAAAGCAAGTTTTATTAAAAACAATATTTGTTTTGTAAGTAGATTTTAAATATTATTTTCCATAACTTTCTGGTATTTTTATTTCGGAAAAAAGTCACAAAAATATTTAAAAAATATTAAAAACATGGAAAATATTTTGCTTCATACTTTAAGATATATTTAAAAGCGATTTGGTATTCCTTAAGAATTCTGTAAAAATTTGAATAAAAATGTTTTGAATATCCTTAGGAATTATTAACCAAAACTCTCTAAAATCGTTTGATATTTCAGTTTCAATTGAAATTCAACCCCTTTATCAGTACACTTTTTTCCCCCCAGTGCGGTCATGCAAAACCTGCAATGACCTGTCAGCAGGACGACCATCGGGGGGTCAGCTGCTGGTTTTGTTGGCCGGAGGACTACCACTACTCACCTCGACACGTATTTTCGCCGAGCGATAGGTGCGGTCCGCCGTATTCTGCGCCTGGCAGGTGAAGTTCGTGTTGTGGTGCTCCTTTTTGGGGGTCAGCCGCAGGACGGACTTGGCCGTAAAGCGCCGCTGATCGGGCAGCGGTATCACCGTGTACTCAATGTTATCCGTTAGCACGGTGCCGAGGCCATCAATCCAGGTAATCTGCGGGAGGGGAGATAAGTTGGGGATTGCGGTTCATGGCTGGTTCAATAAGCTGCCAAATAATTGGCGATGAAAGGAGTCATTTTAAACAATTTAATGCCGATTTATAATAACTACAACAAAATCTAAGGCATTGAAAGAGAATTAAATCAATGTATTTTTTAAATCTCTTTAAAAGGTGTTCAAAAGTATGCTACAAAATATTTTTAGTGAACTTTTCTTATTATTGCATACTTTTAGACACCTTAGAAAATTTTCTTTGGCATTTTATAACTTTTTATAAGAAACACTCACCTCTGCAGCCGGCTTTCCGCCAACCGAAACGCACTCGATCTCCACCTTGCGGTCCTCGGTGGCAAAGATGACGTCGCCCTGCGTGATTTTGGGCGCCTCGGGCGGCACGAGCACCGTCAGTCCGGCGAAGGTGGACCTGATGGCCGGCTGGGCCTCGGGACCCGGACTCACTTGGCACTGATAACGCGCATCGTCATCGAGCATCACGGGGTAAATGTCCAGCGAGTAGTCGCCCTCCTCGTCGCTGCCCACCATCGCGTACCGCTCGAATCCGCTGAGATCCCGGGATGTGCCCAGTCCGAAGTCGTCCTTGGTCCACTGCAGCGTTCCCTGTTTGTTGATCACCCGGCAGGGCAATGTGACCCTGGCCCCGACCACCGCCGTCTGGTCCTGCGGCTCCATGGCGAACCGCTGGTTCTGGTAGCTCGTATACGGCGAGCTCCCGACCATCCCCATCCCCACCAAGGTGGCCAGCAGGAGCAGCTGCATCGTCTGCAACATGGTGCTAAAAAGATAGAGAAACTCGATTTAATTTAAATGCAAATAGGGGGTTTGATAAATATAGGAAATGATTATTTTAATAAATATTTAGATTTTAAATTATAATTTATTTTTACATATTTAGCTGAAATACATTTTAAAATATTGAAATATTAGTGTTAGAATACACAATTATTATATTAATTTTTTTACTTTATGGGTATTTACTACTCTATTTCTTTTATAATCAATTTGCAATATTTCAAAGAATTAATATATTTATTTATATTTTGTACTTTATAGGTATTTACTTATTAATATGGAATATGATATTTTTTTAATATATCAAACACTTTATATATTATTTTATATCTTTTACTTTATCTTTAAAATATTTTTTTAATTAATTATAACAGTTTCTGTATTTTCTCAACCTTAAACTTTAATTAAATTCCCCAAATGTGGATTGTTTTTTTGCGAACCACTTCCCACATCGCTTGGCAATCCGGAACACCTCCGACCCATTGAAAGTCCTTCAATTAGCTGCGATTTGGGTGCAACAGAGGCCGGGTAAACCGGATTGGATTTCTTGGGGGAGGCCTTGAGCAGGCGCCAGTATAAATATAATGGGGCCCCCGAAACAAAATTGTCTTTTCTTCTTGTTCACACATGTATCTATTTGTTTATTTGCTGTGCTTTTTATGCGCTTTGTTTTGCTTTGTTGCGTTTTTTGGTCGTTGTTTTTTTTTATCGCGTTTCGCGTTTTGTTGAACAAATTTTTTGGTGGGGCAGGGGCTCGGGGGCTACAATTGCCTCAGGGTTTTATTACTTATTATTGTTCGTTTATTGTTCGCTGTTGGCGCGCGTGTTTTTTTCTTGTACCGTACCCATTTTTATTTTTATTTTCATTCGCATTTTATTCGGTTTTATTCATGTTTTCCAAGAGCAGACAGCCGTACGTGAGCCCCGAAAACGAATTACATTCAAATTAGTCAGTGGTTCAGGGTGGTTCAGGGTGGTGCAGGGTAGCCACCGCAGAAAAGGCTTAAGCCGCGGGGCAATGCCGCAGTTTACGACAAAGGGCGCCCATAAACGGGGCAAATGTGTAAAAATCTTGCGAAAATATCCCACAAAGTGCCGAGTCGAATATGCAAAGCACAAGTATTAAAACCTCGAAAAAAGCGAGCATAAAAACTGAGGCAGTCGGAATTCGAAACTTAAATGGGACTTTTTTAAATTTATTTTTTAAATATAAAATATATAATAAAATTTCTCTCTTTATTTTTCACAGATCTCTAATGCCAATTGATTGCTTTATTTGCTGCGATTTATAGAAATCACTTGGGTTGAATTCCCCCTGTTAACCACTTAATGCCAGCCACCAAGCTTCAATCCCCACTTTCAGCTCGAGTTGCGTTTCGAGGAGATTTGCCTAATAAATTGCAGCCACACTGCCACTGTGTGTTTGAAGCACAATCTCGACTCTAAGTACTAAACTACACTACTCTCCCTTTCCAGCTATCCACTTTTCCGCCTTTCCGCACCTTTCGTTCCCAGAGCACTTTTCCGAGCAGCACTTTTCCCCCTTTTCCAGTTCGCCGTACAGGTGCCGGCTGCCTTGGAATTTTCTCACGCATTTTTCCCAGTTGTTGGGCAACTATTTTACCATTTCTGTATATTCTCTTGGACTTTTGGGTTTCTTCTATTTTTTTCGGTCTGCTTCCGTCTGTCTAATTTCGTTTTCTTGTAGTTCGTCGCCATTATTTGTTTTTATTGCATTTATACGGAAATTGGCGCCTCAAATTAAACGAAATTATAACAGAAAATGAAATAATAGAAGAGGAGAGATCCATAAAAAAATAACCCAAAAAAGATGCAAACGGAGGCAAAAGATTAGCGGGCTTCCGTTCAAAAATAAAGAAAAGACAAAACGGAAGGGCTAGAAATCCGGGAGGCGGGGCCTGAAAATTACTCAAAATTAGAGTTGTATCCGAGATCCAAAATCCAGTGGAGGCTGTGGGAGAAATCTCCGAATCATCACCGACTTTCGGCTGAAGATGATAATGCCGCGTTTGCCGAGCCAATTAAAACCGATTTTAGACACGCTCACAGGGAGTTTTTCCCTTTTTGCCTTTTATGGGCGATAAAGATTCGGTTTCATCTGTTTCGAGATATCGGTTTTTTTATTTTGGGGGAAAAGAGATCTAAAAAGAGTGTTGATGGCCAGCGTATCGATGGAAGAAATTGACTTTATGGCCTGCAGAGAATTTACGGCAAAACCTGATCTTACAGCTGAGAATTACATATATTTTTGTATGCATTAGCATAATTCCAATTAGTAAAGTAAACAGGAGAAATCGCGTGGTTCTTAAATAATTTTTAAAAATGGATACGAAAGAAATACAGAATATTCCATAATTTATCCAGCTATTCTGATGATTACTTTTCCTCTTTTAATATTTTTTCCTGACCATTTGGGAATACAATGCTCCGTTTTGATCATGTTTTCCTCTTGAAATTCTTTCACTTTTTGGCTCTTTTAATTTGTTTTCCCCATTCCGCTGTCACTGTCTCAATATCCAGGGCATGTCATACACGAAAACTGCTCCGAGTCGCCACCCGGAGGAAAAGTGTGGGTGGTTGTGGGGGTGGGTGGTTCAGGGGGTGGGCGTCGGTTGGCCAACAATACAAATCACTCCACTCATTGGCCAAGTCCGAGACTTAACAGTAGCAGCTGCCATCTGGTTGGAAAGTGCCTGGCCATCTCTCTTTCTCCCCGGGAAACTAAAGCTCAAGTGGGGTGTCTCCCCCCTTTTCCCCCGTTTGCCCACCCCTCTTCACCACCCCTGCCCACCGCCCACCTGCCGAAAAACTTTTGCAAGAGAAAGAAGCAAGGCGAGTGTTCAATATAAATTTTTCAAAGTTATTTGTACCAGGTGGGCCTTTCTTTATTGATTTATGAGAGCCACTTCGACGTGCTTAGAAGGAGCAGCCGTTGCAGCTCCAGGGGCGTCGCCGAGGGGGGTGGGGCTGGAAAAGGGGGGATAGATAAACCGTAAATGACAAAAGTCTCGAAGGAAGCCGCACATCCGCTGCAGCTTGCATCTAATAACCGAAGCGAACTGGCGATAATAATGCGATCGTGGAAACTGGTTTACGTTTTTTACACTGGCCAACAGGGTTACAAAAAAAATAGAAAACAATGAGCGTAAGTGTACCAAATTATATATTTAATGTGACTCTGTGAATTAGTAAGAAATTCTCATATTTTCTTATATATTTATTTTTTGTTTTTATAAAGATCCCTTTACCGCTGATTTTTGCCGATATTCGCACACCTTGGCAACCCTTTTTTCTCGCTCTGGCCTGACAACTTGATCTCGGGCGTCGTCTTAGCACCTGTTCCCCCGATTCCAGTTGCAACTTGCAACTATAAATATCACAACAGATGCTTGGGCTGTGGCATTAAAGGATGCTGTTGGATGCTGGATAAGTGCAGCTGCATCTTGTGGTCAGCCAAAGGGGCCAGAGGCCAGGGGCGTCCGAAAAGGGGGGCAGAAAGCTGCAGAAAGGAAGCCCGTTGGCCGGGGAAGTTGCTGCCAACTGCCAACTGGCAAAACTGGCAACTTCCAACTGCCAACTGCCGACTGACTGACAAAACAGGCAACCATCTACCCATGCAGTCCGCAGTATCGATTGGATTGGATGGGATGGGGATGGGGATGGTATGGGATTGGATTGGTTCAGTTCAGCTCGGTTCAGTTCGGTTCGGTTTCAGATCGGCGGGCCGGGGAGTCAAGATTTATGTGTGATAAGCGTCGCCTGAAAATAATTACTGTATCTCTGTGTTGCTCGAGCTGCGAAAATTGAAAACTGGAGCGGAAAGCGTTCGCAGCGGAAATGTTTTTCTTGCCATCGGAGTTTTCTGTTTGCCAGTGATTGGCAGCGTGGGGTTAAGAGTGAAGCGGAGTGAGGGAGGGGGGAGAGGGGTTAAGTCCCAGATTGTGGCATCGAAATCGGGGGAATTATCCTCACCAATGGCGTGGCAATCTGCTTTTGTCCGTCTGTCGACTGAATAAGCGATCGGCAGGTATTGAAAAGATTCAGCAAAATAAAATTGAATATTATATTTATTTATATTTTTATTCTCTTTCATGGAACTTAAATAACTAATTTTTTTTAAATAAAATTCTTTTTTTCTTTTGACAAAAGCTGATTAACATGAAATATTAAATTTTACAAGGTACAGTCTCGTCCGATTTAAGTAGTTATTTGCTTTTTAAATAAGATTTTAATAAAATAGAAGTTTTCCGCTAGAAAATCAAAGTCAATAACCCCGAAAGCAAGTTTATTCGCTGCAAAGTAAGTGAATGTGTGGCACACATCCTTTGGCTTTCTGTTTGCCTGAGTAAGCTGTCCCAGCAGCCTCCAAGTTGCCCAAAACAAACCGAAAACTCAACTTTAACTGTCAGTTAAAGTGTCGACTGTACTTGAGGACTCCTCCATCTGTCTCTGTCGCACCTATCCCCCCTCTCTTTCGCACACTCACATGCCATCGCCCTAAGGGACCGGTTAACCCTTCACCAAAAAAAAAAGAAGAGAAAAGAGAAGGAAAAAAGCTCGGCCGAAAGGAAGGCTACTTAAAGGACTTTTGCTGACAAAATGGAAAAGGCAACAAGCGGAAGGGAAAAAGGGACAGGAGCAAAGGGTTTGGGGATAACCGGAAAAGGCATAAAGGATATTGGTCGAGGTCCAGGGTTCAGCAAAGATTAGGACAATTAAAAAAGGGAATGCTTAACAATTAAAATCAATTTGTGCGTATGTCTGTGTGGGTGGGTGGGTGCCCCAAAACCCCTTCTACTCCTCCCCCTTCACCGTTGACAATTTGTTTGCTCGAACAAATCAACTAAAAGGCAACGGCTAAGTGGCAAAAGGAGAAAGCCAACGGAAAGTCAAAGTCAAAGGATGATGATGACTGGCCGGGATTCAATTGACCCTCTCCTTCCTGCTCGGCTCTGCCATCTCTGATTACGACACAAATGTGTGTCCTGGGGCAAAATTGGGGCACCAGGACTCGGAATTCGGGATTCGGGACTCCCATTCCCCCCGCTTCAGTGTCAATAAAAAGGCAACTGGCAAAAAATAAACTTAAATCGCCTATTAATGGGCCACACACCAGAAGTTTTTGGCCAAAGTCAGCACAACTTAAGGGAACAGTAAACGCAGGCTAAAAAGGTCATCGCTCATCCTTAAAAAAAGAGTCACTGATAATTATCAATGGGAGTTAAGTGACTATGAGTAAAGTAACAGACAGTGTTGGCCAGTAATTAAGGGGTTCAGTGTTGGAAAATACTTATTACATTTTAAACACTTCATTGAAAAAGTTTGGCAAATTGTTTTTATTTATTTTATTTTTGTTATTAATTATGACACCTATTTGGCTTCCAGTTTTTTACTTAATTACGCAACAAAAGAAACAGTGTTGCAAAACGTGATCAAGCAGTGTTGCCTAGCGGTAGCTGCTTCACAAAACTCGATCAATCCCCTAGATCAACAAACCCAAAAACGAAACTTGAAGCCCAGCTCGGATTTCATAACACTAATCGAATCAATCCGCGACTTCGTCTTGCCCCAATATAATGACCAAGTGCAGCTCACCCAGGAGAACGAGTTAAGTTATTCATCAATTCTTCAAGCTCCGCGGGGTTAAAACAGGGCGAGGGGGTGGAAAAACTTGTTAGCCGTGTATAATTAAAGCATCTCGGCTCGATCGGACTCTCATTAGCATAATTCTAACATAATTCCCGACATGGCCAGGCATAAAATTATGAATCGAACTCCCAGCAGCCGAAACTCCAAATAAAATCATAAGAAAAAGATATATACATACAATATATAGCTATGTATAAAGGAGATGGGCTTGGGGAATGGAGCAGATCGAATGAAAGTTGCTTGGCCACATCGGAGCAGAATTTCAATCAGTAAATTGAACACCTGAACTTAACTGATTTCGTGGTTGTTTTTGTGTTTTTTGTACGCTCTTTTGTGTGTGTGGTTATATTATTTCGATTTTTTCCTCTTTTTTTTCGGCTGACTGGAAAGGGGAGAAGCTGCGAAGAAGCACAAGAAACAAGTTGAAGTCGAGCAGCAGGAAATTAAGCCAGGCCAAGAAAAGACACTGCAACAATGACAAGCCAGCAAGCCAGCTGGCTTCAACTTGGGTTTAGTCGGGGTTTTGCTTTTGGTTTTGGGTTCCCCAGCGAGACCGCAGCAGCTTCTCCACTTTACGTTTAGCATTTTTTTCAAATTCATGTTTATGGTTTTGTATTACAAGCGATCGACACAGCCAGAAAGCCAAAAAGCCAGCCAAGCCGGCCAGCCAGTCGAGATTTGTATAACTTTAAGCCTTATTAACATATTTTATGCTCCATTCGAGTTCCATTCCAAGTCCAAGTTCGCCCACACACCGACATTTTTTCATTTCATTTCATTTCCAACCATCTCGTTTTATTTCTCCCCGCTTTTCGTGTGGGCCGCCACTTTGACATAGATCGATCCAATCCGAAAACCCAAAATAAAAATAAAAGTATAAAAAAGTCAACGAAAACCCACCGGAGGAGTCTGGGCTCAGAGCCCATGCGATGCTATTGGCAAATGATTTCGAAAGCGGCACTTGACCAGACACTATTTGAATAGACGTCAGATGGTAAACACAGATATTTATTGGGCGCCTTGGTGTGGGGATCTTACAGCGAGTTTAGGACTGTTGTTTAATGAAATTACAGTTGGACAACTTGGGGTTAATTGGATGGTTAGGAACCAGTAAGCCATATATCTATAAAATTAAAGGATTTTAATTAGGAGATATTTGAGAATTTTTATGAAAAGCTTTTTAAATTATTTCCTTTTTATTTTATATACTTTTTTATGTTTTAACAAAGTAGCATACCAAATTTCCCCACGAAATCTCCACTACAACTCCAGTTCCTTGAGGTAACTTTCTAACGCCCAGCGACAATTACAACCAGCGTCACGCACTTGTCAATGTGCCGTCTAACTAAACACCATACCACGTTTCGTTGGCCCGAACTCCACAACAAACCGAGTTCCCATAGGCAATGTTTTCATTTCAAATTATCATCCACAACGACAATTGCCTGACCAGGAAAATAAAAAAGAACTAAAAACGAATCCGTAAAACCCTCACCTGACAGCTGTCACTGTTTCGGGATGGGGAACGGGTACCTGTCCCCCAAAACCTAACCGAACCCAAAAAATAAACAATCTCCGCTGGCTACCTCATCTCGGGCTTATTCTTTTGTCCGGCCGTCAGTATCCCCCATTTCCTTCTCCCCATGCAGCTAATTGAGTTATATCCCCACCACATGACACTGCAGTCGCGTTGCAGGCCCCGAAAAAATACACAAAAAAATAAGAAAAAAAGAGGAAAGCGATGGAGAGACGAAACCTATTTTAAATCGTCCCAAAAAAGAAGAGAGGCTCCACACAAATACGAATCAATTCAATAAACAAGAGCGGGACCTTTCCCATACAGGTTTTAGCCCCGAACTTCCCCCTCCGCTCTCTTGGAAAAACCAAACGTGTTAGAATAGAGCGGTAATAATGAACACGAACGGAGAGGTGCAGAGATACAGATACAGATATATAGATGCAGGTACGATCCAGAGATACTGGGACATTCGCAGATATACAGATATATAGTAACGATTCGACGACCCACTCGCCGCTGTCAGTTTTTCTTTCGTTTTCGCTGGCTTTTCCATTTGATTGCCTTGTGGTCGACCGTTACACGATTGGGTGTGTGGGCGGTGTATCTCAATAAGTTCATATATATATGTATTCCAGTTTGGGAGCTCGAGTGGTGGTGGTGTTGCAACCACTGTGACAACAAAAAGATACAACGAGAACAACGACAACTACAACGGGCGACACCTTCGGTCGCTTGCCTCTAACTAAATCCGATTATAACTAATTATTATGGACGCCGAACCCGAACCCAATAGGAGGGTGGGGGGTTACCCTGGTGGGCCAGGGTTGCCACATATTCGCGGGCTTGGCGTGGGCCATTCTTTTTGTATCTGTATCTCTGCCCATTGTACTTTATTATTCTCCTCTTTTGAGGTTGCGACTTGAGTTGGGTTTTGTTATGACCATTGTGTAATGTCAGTCATGTGTCCATATCGAAGTTGTATTGTCTCTGGGAAGGGGGAATCTTTAAAGTTTCGAAGCGTTTTTGGGCAGGATTAAAGATTATTATTGTTATTAAAGCTAAATTATATTATAGTAATATTTTATTTTTATATCTACTTTACCAACTCACCTTCAACACCTTTTTAATGGGAGAACACAAGTCTCAAGTGTCACTTTCTCACTTTTCCTTTTCCTCTCTCTCCGCCTTTCAGTTTGTTTGTCTTGGGGCCTTGAGATCTGCAAAAAGAGGGAAAAACGGGGGGTAAAAACATAAGTAAGATTATTAATTCAATTCTTTTTCTTGTTTTGTTTCTGTTCCCGTTCTTGTGCCGCTTCATTTGTTTGCCTCTGTACGTATTAATTGTTCCGGCTAATGCCTCTGTTGGCCCTAATGTTGTTCGTCTTCATCTTGGCCATAAACACGCACAGGCCGTGTTTGGCAGCGACGTTCTTCCGCATTCATTGCTCTTTTATAGGGCACAAAATGTTTATTAGACATTATGTACCCGCAGTTCCCTCAACCACACACTCCTCACTACTTTCATCCTGGCCGCAGGCGAAAAACTTGCAGGGAATCACGCATATTTCGCATAAAAAGTCAACAATCGACATTTTTATGCAACGTTCTCTGGCTCCCCAATTTTTCCCCTATGGCTGACAGTCCCTTTCTACTTAATTTTCTATTATGATCTTTGGTAATTGTTGCAATGAAAATTTATTGCCGGCAAATATGGCCAGCAGTAGCAATTTATTAATGAAACTTCCCGAATCAAATGGTACAATATGCAGTTCAACATTAGGATATTTTTGGGCTAAAAGCATTTCGAGTGAATGAGGTCATCAATAATAGAACAAACTATTTAACTTAATAATTTATTAACAAATTATGTTGTTTACGACTCTAAATTGCCCGAAATGCAGCCCTGTTAAATCGAGGATGTTATTCCCAATATTTTCGACTGGCGTGCCAGGACTCCAAACAAATTGAAAAATTGATGCCTGCATTTCGGGGGGTCCACAGACCTGTAAATATAACCACAGATAAGGGGTAAACCCCCTTTTCACCCCCCTTTCACAGGGCATTTTTAACCCCCTTTCTAGTTTGATAAAGCGACGGACATGATTCATGGAGGGTTCCGTTGGCTATGCTCTCGATTATATCCTTGCATGCCTAAGGTCTTTCGGCGGGCAGGGGGCAGGAGGCCGAACCCCCTTCTTTTCAGGGGCGGAGGTACACAAACACAGACAGAACATGCAATACAATACAAATAAATACACAAAAAATGAAAAAGTACAAAACGTGTGTGGCACGAAAGCCGAATCAGGCGATTGTCTCTGTGTTGTTTTTTATTTATATATTTTTTTTTGGCTGGTGGGGGGGTGGGTTGGCTCCGTGGGGTGGTGTCCCGTGTCCCGGCTTTGAACGCACTTCAGGAGGCAGGCGGCAGGACTTTCGGGACAGGACAGCTGGAACGGAACGGAGCTCTGAATGTGGCAACAAGCGTTAAGTGGTTGCCTGTTTGTCGCTCGTGTACTTGGAAATGCTTTACAAATTCAGCAGCGTGGATAAAAAATGGAAATAAATAAAGGGAATATCGAGAAATCCAGCCGAGGTGGGGAAAACGAATAAAAAAAGGAAGGAAGGAAAAGCACCCCGTCAGCTGTTTTCTCCGTAGACCAAAGTCAGCTGCTAATCCTCGGCGGGGGTGTCCTGTTTTCTGTTTTCCTGCCAGATGACGATGACTCATAGTGCCATGGGGTGGGCGACTGCGATTCCTTATTTTCGGTGGTTGTCCCAAAAAAAATATAAATAAAATCGAAACTTAAACTAGAGCAGCCGTTGGGGTTGTTGCATAATGACTCATAGTCCCAGGCAAATGAATTATTTATTAGAAGCCCCGCTAAAAGTATCCTTTTTTTGGTACTCCCCCCACTGGGCCACCAAAATGAAGTTTTAGTGTCAAAAGTTCAACCCAACAGAAAGTTTAAAATAATATAATGTATCTCCGAAGGAGATAAATCGGCAAAATATATTATTTAATATCAATTTAACCAGTATTGCATGGTAAAAACGATATGCGTAGTGTTTTTTTTTATGTGTAGTCTTAAGATTTTTCCCCGTGTATTATTAAAAGTTCTTCGAATTCTTTTCCCAACTTTCATTCCTTTTCCCTTGCCTTAAATAGTTAATTTCAACCACCATGCTCTCCGCCTATTTTAATTGTAATTCGAAGCGACTTGGCATGTTTCCGACTGGATTTTCCCAAGATCTCGGCATTCGTTGACCATCTGCCGGCTATCATCGCTCCGGCATTTTCATCTCGTAGACCACAAGTATTTCACATGTAGAAGTAAAAGTGGAGAACTAGAGCCTCCCTCCTCTCTTCTTTACCTCAGAGCGTTGTCCAAAGTTTTCGGGCTTATCTAAATGCCATTTTATTCCGGCTTGTTCTGCTTCTTGGCTTGTTCTTGTTTATCTTGCAGATACATCTGCGAATCTGCGAGGACGGGAACATTCTGCGGTCAGAAGTTGTCAGTTGATAAAAATGCCCCGGCCCAAGAAAAAGCCAGAGTAAAAGCAAAAGCAAAAGCCCGAGCAGAGTCAACGATAGCCCGAAATCCACTTTGGCTAAATGTAAATATTAAATTTGCGCATAAAAATAATACGGCAAAAAGGAGATAGAGATAGTCGGGCCAAGCCGGCGAACTAAAGTGAATTCACAAAGGAAAAAGGAGAGCCATAAAAAGCTGACTGCGGCAGGACTATGAAGTGCCAGCGGAGGCTAAGGTCCTGGACTCGAATTCTCAATTGACGCGCCACGTCCTCGAAGGCAGCAAAAAAGATACATACATATATCCAGATACAGATACGGATTGAGGGAGAAGAGGGAAAGAGAGGAGACCGTGGAGGACGACTCCATAATAATTTTATGCGCTTCCAAAAAACTTCCGTTCAGTCATTGCGTTGTGTTTCCGCCCAGAAGACGGAGACGAAGACATCGCACATGGTTACTTCTTTTCCATTCGAGATGCCAGCGTGAGTGGATCATGCACATATATAAAAATTTTAAACATTTTGGAACATTTTTAAATTTTACCAAAAACCTATTTTGTAAGAATCTCAAGAATTCGCGATCACTTTCTTTCTTTCTGAAGTATAAAACCCACTTTAAATAATGCTAAAGAATTCATGATATCTTCAAACTAATATAGCTGATCGAGCTCAAAAATATATTACATTTAATTTTGTTTAAACCCCAAGAATTCGCGTTCATTTTATTTAATCTCGAGATGTAATTAACATCTTTTAACTCACAAATATATACTTCCAAAAATATTCTATTCTAGAACTACTGAAGAATTCGCAGAATCCTAAAATTGGTTTAGCTGATTAAGCTCATAAATACAAGTCAACACGTCGGCATCTCTAGATATTTTTCACGTTGTTGGCCAAATTGCCATAGAAATTTCGTACGTTCTTGTATTTTTTGCGACTGCCTCGCTTTTCCTTTATGGTTCGCCGTTCGCCGGCTGCCTTGCCTGATTTTTCCCCTTCCGCGGGGTGGTTTTTGGGTGGGGTTGGGTTCTTAGGAGGTTCTCTGAGTGCTGGCTGAATGAATGAGCCGGCGAGCGAATGAATGAATGAATGAATGTTCAACTGTCACTTCCGTCAGGCGGGCCAAGCGGAGTCAGGCCAAGAAAAGGAAACCCGCACCACCACCACCACCCACACGTCGGGAAAGCGGGGTGGAAAAGCGCTGGATGGGTGGATAGCTAGTGGGTGAGTGAGGGGCGACAACGCGTCAACATTGTTGGGGAAAATTGTTGGCGGGGGCCAAACGAGTAATGACATATTCAAACGCAGCGCGAACTTGACGACGCCCCAAAGGAGTGAAGATGTTCTACACTAAGAAGACGCTTAGCGGGGGAAAATCGAGGGGGAAAATGCGCACAAGAAGCGTTGCCAGACATTCTGACAAAGCTGGCGACAAGGACGTACACTTGTAATAACACGAAAAGGATATTGTAAAACATTTTCATAAGTTCTCTCAATTTCTGAGCGCTTTTTTCTTCCAGCTCGCGTCGCGTTCAATTGCTGATGAAAATGCTCCTTGGCAGCAGGAGGAGGGTGCAAATCTGGGGATTTGGCGAGGACTCAAAAGAGAGTGCTGCAGATTAACTTAATTAGCGCCAAGGATCGTTTCTAAAGGGGATGGAATATTTCTGAGGAGTCTTCACATGATTTATAATAGTTATTTCACACTGAACCGGTTTAAAGGACGCAACTATCTTCTATTTATTTCATTGAAATTTAATTAGGCCTGAAATAAAATTGTTTCTCCCATTTCAGACACTTCTATTCATCTTCCGCTCTGAAAATGCCCCTTTTCCAAAATATTTCTTCCTTTTTTGTGCCATATGGCCCATACATCGCTCGACTTTGTCTACTTATTCCCAACTATTGTCCGACAATAAGGAAATTTTATGCCCATTTGAGTTCGGTCTCTTCCCCGCTGCAAATCACCCTCTTTCATTTTTAGACTAATTTGATGTTTGTCCCCATTTGAGATACGAATTTCTTGGGTCTTTTCTTTTTTTCCTTTTGGGCTGCCTGCCAACCACCGAAAAGTCAAGGGAATGGAATCACACATGGCCGCCCGTTTTCCCATTTTGTCCCCCTCGAAACCAAGGGGGATTTCAAACCCCCCCGCAATATTTCCACCCCCCTTTCAAGGCGACGGCACACTTCAGTTCCCCGGTCTTTCCACTCTGGATTCAACTTTTCCCATCAATGACTATTAATTGGCATTCTCGATGGGCGGAGGGTGGTCGAGTGAGAGGGGGTGGTGGAGGGGGAAACCCCCCCTGCATGCTTCACTTGCATTAAGGCGGCGCCATTAAAGCTCATCAAAAATGCAGGCCAAAGTGGCGCACTTTAAAAATGCCGCCTCTCATAGATTTTCATTTTCCATTTTGCCATGGCCCCCTCCCCACTAGAGTGCTATGCTTTTGGGGTCAGAGAACCCCCCACCCCACCCCCCGATAATGATGATGGCTTGACAAATATTTATTGCTTAAGCATTTGAGTGCAAATATTTTAATTAGTCTGGCGACAAGACAACAGATCTGGAGATCTGGAAGTATAGATGGAAATGGAGTTGGATTCTGGACGACCCCCTCCTCCCATTTCTCAAACGCTGATGAGGCTTAATGAACTGCAAAGCGGCTCTCAATTGTCTTCAATTAACCAAATTAACCAAGGGATAAATTGTTTGCCTTTCGAATGCCCTCGTCTGCTTTTCTTTTCCAGCGAGGAGCTGAGAAACCGATGCAAATGGCATTCGAAGTAAGTAAATTCCTAAAATAATATTAAATACCCAGAAGCCTCATTAAACGGAATACTTTCCTTAATCCACGGGGGCAAAAAAGATGAGTGGAGCAGTCAAATCAGTGGAAGCGATACGGCAGAAACTGTCAAAAAGCCTGACAGCTCCGCTCTCAAGGTGAACCAGGGGCGGAGGCGGAAAGGGGGGTGCCGAACATAATTTGTGGCATGCAAAGAACTAACAAAGCGACAGGCAGGCAGCAAGATTAAAAAAAATACAAAATCGCAGGGCGAAATTGAAAAGGAAAAATAAGTTTCGACATGCTGACGAGGACGCGTCAAAACGATCCAACAAATGCGGCCTCGCCAATCGATAGCAACTGCAAAAAGCAGAAAGCAACAAAGCAACAAGAAAGTGCAACAAAAAATGCTGCAAAAACGGGGGGCAACAACAGCATGCGACATGAGCATGTTGCACTTCCTGCCACGCCCCCCTCACCGTCCCTCAACGAACGCCCCTTTCTCCTCCTGTCGATTGTTTCAGACGTTTTTAGCAATTTGCAATGCCAGCAAATTGGGCCAAATTATAAAAACCAAAAACTACGCACACACTCTCGAGTGCACTGAGCGAAATTCTAGAAATTTTTTGAACATTTTTCTTTAAACGAAGCTTAAGTTAGCTTTTTAACTGAACATTAAGTATTACTTTAACTCTTAAATCATTATACTAATTTATAATAATCATTTTAGGTACTCTAACGTTTCTCAATAAATTTAAATTAATATTTAAAAGTTTGAAAACTATAATTATTCAGAGAACATCTAAGATTGATATTCAATTATTTAAAGATATAGGAGTACTGGATTCACCTCTTGGAATTTCAGCTAAATATTTTAATAAATCCCCCAAGTTAGAAATATTTTTACCGTGTTTATATACGACATATATGGAAGATGCGTAAGTAAAAGCTTAGCTTGCCAAAGAAGAAGATTGAAACTTTGCTTGTTTTTTTTAATGACAAGGGACAGGTGCGTGAGTCTGAAGACTCACATATGCAGCTGTGTGTGTGAGTATCTGTGTGCGCCCTTTTGATGTGTTGGTAAAGCTTCTGGGCCTGCAGCTTCTTCAACTCGCATCTGTGTCTTTAACACCGAAGCTGCCAGCTACATTTTCTCGATTCACAGCTGGAGGCAGAGTACTTTTGGTTACACAAGGCAAAAACATCAGAATGAAAATATATTAATTACTAATTTTTGAAACAAATTTTAGAACTTGAATACCGTTTCAAGATCACTTTTAAAAATGCGAATTCAAGAAATTATCATAGGATAAAAAACTCATTTGATTTAAATTGGCTATAATTCAGATAAGAACTCGAGGTTGCTGTTTTATAGTCATTTGAATTAAGTGAATGCCATTAATAATTTCATATAATATCAAAATTTTGCTAACGCTTAGCATATTTTAACAGAAAGCTTATAAACATTTTTATATTTCAGTATTTTTTAACTCTTTAGTTTGTACAAATAAATGTATGTTATTTACGAAAAAAAATATTATTGCAGTGCAGGAAAACACGTTTTCTTTGACCATACAAGTTTTTTCATTTTTTTTTAAATTTTCAACTTAAATGCTCAAGGAATGCTAATCGTTCTCTTGTTTATTACTTTTTCTGTTTTCAACTTTTTTGTTTGAAATCGTAATCATAAATCATGCAAAACCAAGGAAAGCAAAGATCGAATCAGTTAAGCAGAGCACTTTTTGTTCCGAAGATGCTCTTGGGTGGAATGGTCAGAAGAAGTTAATTAGGTGTCCAAGGTCTGGAGAGGAAGATCTATTATTTTAGAGGGGAAAGTAAAGTTCCAATTGGTCGAGCTTCAAAGTGACAAGATTGTTTTCTTATATCAATAAACAATTAACCAAAAGCAAAGATAATGGTTCTTATTTAAAGCTTTAAAGGAATACAATCAAACAATTTTAGTTTTATTTTTATGCCACAATTTATATGGGCACTTCCAAAAAAAAGTCCACCAAGCCAAAAACCTTGAAACTTGAATAAAACATATTTCCACATGATTTTGCCCCGATATTAGTTTCTAATTAGTTGGATACTGAGCTTAACTACAAATTTAGAGTATAGTTTGATCATTTTTATGACAAACCCCACCAATATACGCAAAAATCAGTTTTTGGCTATTTTTTTGTTATTTTTTGGACCTGTCTTCTATTGTTAATTTATCCTATAGGAATGCTAATATGTGACATTTTTCTGTACTGAATGCTTCATTCACATACTAAACTATTAAGTTAAAAGCAAAACATCCAGCAATTGAGAGATAGAGGTAAAGAAATCCGCTTTACAAAACAGTCGGAAAAAATGTCCCGAGCGACATGTCCCGAGCGAATGTGGTTGAAACTGCATAAAAAAAAAACGGCAAAGAATTTTTGAGTGAAACCAAAAGCATTTCACAGCGACATGTTTGAACAACATTCTAAAAAAAATCGCATTAAAATATTCCATCAGAATTCGCTAATTTCTGGTGTTGTATGAACTTCCCCGAAATCCACTTCTATTTTTGTCCCGAGCGAATACGGCAGTTTTTTACCGATATCTTAAAAACTAAAAGTGGTACAAAATCAAGATTTTTACCAAAAATAGAGCTTGGGAAGAGTGAAAAGAAAAGCCCATAATTAAAATTAAAATCCATTGTTTTACAATTTTTTTTCAACTTTAAAGGTGTGCAAATGTCCCGAGCGACATTTTGGAAGTGCCCATATGTCTTTTAATTAAATTTCCTCAATTATTAAAAAATCTATTTACAAACTAATAATTTTCCCCATAGTTTAAAAACCAAATTAAAATTTTTCTTTACAACTAAGAATTTTGATAAATTCACAACCAACTTTAAGTCATGTTTTCTTTAGAGTAAGAAACGGATTTAAAAAATTTAATATAATAAGACAATGATTAGTTGTTAAATCACGTTAACCCATTTTCGATCAGATCTTTTTTTTCCTCCATTTCAACATGAAAACTCCTATTTTTCTAGGACAAAACCACACACAGACCAACACACTGGTAGCCAAAATGTCAAAGTGGCCAAAACGCGAAACTTTTGTGGGGCCAAAAGGGGCGGGGATTTGGCGAACTGTATTTTAAAAACAAAATCAAGCGAAAAGGTCAAAGTGAGGGAGCAGCTGTTGCAGTTGGCACACGAACAAAAATAAACCAAAACAATGGGGTTTTCTTCACATTCAACTAACTACATATTAATTGTTTTTTACTCACATTTATATTTATATATTATATTTATCTCGGGCTCCTTAGTTCTATAAACTGTGTATATTTATATTTTTCAACCGATTCTGAACAATCACAGGCACTAATCCATAATCGTTGAGTTATAATTTTCAGCTTGTTTGGTTTTGTTTGGGCTGTTTTTTTTTTATTTTTATTTAATCCATTTTTAGCACTCACTTTTCCACTGGTAATCCACACCAAAATGTATTTTTTGGCTTGCGTTTGCACCAAAAAAAAAATAATTGTATTTGAATATGTTTCGATTTGTTTGGGTTTTGTATTGAGATTCTCGTCTTCGGGTCTCGAGAAGTATCTGTATCTGCAAGATACTTGGTATTTCCGCCGCTGCGAAGCGAACGGTACGAACGAACGGAACGAAGTGCGAGCTCGATCCAGAAATGCGACTTCTTTGGCCACGCCGGCTGTCCTCGAACAAAACAAAGCGAGGCAACATGTTCGCGGCAGTTCCAAGCCGTCTTTTGGCACTTAACAGCGAGCAACAGGGCTAACAGCGGGGTTCGATGCAACCTCTGCTTACTTAATTTTAAAATGCATAGTTTGAGAAAACTGAAGAATTTTGTATGAGGATTGGTAGATAGAAACCAAATTCCAATTTTCAAAAAACCTGATACAGCAGGAAGGATAAGAAGAATTTTTAGTTACAAAAATAATGTCACTCTTTAAAATTTGCCGAATAAATAAGAGTCTCAAAGTTTTCCGACCTGTAGCTCAAAATATACTCAATGTATCTTTATCATTTCTTTTATTTATTATTTTAATTGTTTATTTTAATTTTTTTTTATTTTAATATAAGCATATATTTGTTTATGGAAATATTGCTGGCTTCAAGGCTATCATTCCGATTAGGTTTAATGAGTGTTGGGAGGCCGATGTGTTTGTGTTATAAATATATTTATTTCACAATCGGAAATTCCAGAAATTTATTCTGTTCCAGAAGGTGCCTATAAGTTTGTTGAAAATTTAACATAACTTTAAAAAGAAAGGAACACATTACTTTACCGTTTTATTAAATCAAGACAAAAAGGGTATTTATTTAAAATTGTATTTTAAAATACATTTAAGGCTTAACACCTATATTGCGCATATTTATATTTCATTGTCTGATTGGCAAATAAAATTATTGTAATGATGACAATCGAAATCACTCATCTCCCCGTAAACCATAGCAATGCATTCACCGTCATGGTCGGGCTCTCCTAAGTTCCACATAAAAACGGATGCAGGCTTTCCGGAGGCCGTAGATATGAACTCATCATACATATTGAGCTTGATGCCAGTCCAGTAATAACCAATCTCAACTTCTGGCTTTATACTTATGGCTTCGAGTTCCTCTTGGGTTTTGAAAGCCGCCAAATAGCCGCCCATTCCTCGACATGCTGCTGCAGCCTCATCAAAGGGTTTTCTAATTGTATGTTCGAAATAAAAATATCGAGAGCCATAACGCTCAAACTTAGGATAGAAAAACTTGTGATAGAGAGCGGAATGTGTTTCGAGAAGGGTTTTCTGCAAGGCCGATAGTTGGTTCTCCAGCACCGCAAGTTGGTTCTCAGTTTTGTTTTGAAGCTCCTTTAGTTGGGCTTCCATTTTTACCTCCGTTCCGTTTAATCTCGCCTCAAAGGATTCGGAAAGAGCTGTATTTTGGTCCTCCAGTTTTTTCTGAACCGCCAGAAGTTGGGCATCCAGTTTGGTTTGCATGGATATATCCTGATCTCTTACATTTGTGTCCATTTCCTTTAGTTGGGTCTTTAACTCGGAATTCGAAACCAAAAGCTGCTCTTCTGTCACATTTAACCGCTCCGCGAAGTTCTTTGTGATGGTCCTCTGCAGGGACTCCAGATTCGTCTGAAGATATTGCAGCTGACTTTTGAGCTCGGAATTTAACCCAATCAGTTTGGTTTGCATTGCTGTATCCTGGTCCTCCATTTTGGTGCTCTGCAACTGAAGTTGGTTTTTTAATTCAAAAATCACCGCCATTAGTTTTTCCTTCGTGTCGCCGAGTTTCGCCCCAAACTCTTCTTTCGTGGTGATGTCGTTCAAGGAATTCTGCATTGAGATCCTTTGGGCCTCCACCGTCGACTGAACTGCCACGAGCTTCATCTGGATGGACTGCTGCTCGCCGAGGACCTTCTTCAGTTTGGAATTGGTTTCGGGAACCAACTCAATCATCGGATGGATCTTGCTAAGGCAGAAGTCGCCACACTGATTTTGTGGGTCCTGCAACAGGCAAGTGGATCGCCCATTATTTTGTGATTTAGCAACAGATTCTTGAGACACCAGGATAACAAGGAGCAGCAAAGATAAATATGTCAGCTTCAGCATTTCGAATTTGTATTACTATTCAAAGAGAACTCTCAAAACGTACTGAATTTAAAATGCTTCTTAAAAAATAAACAAACCGAAAATACTGCCGATAAGGGGCAAAACCCAAAACATTGCAGATTACGGGCAAAACCCAAAAACATTGCAGATTTGGGAATAAACGCAGAAAATAATCAACGCTTAATTTTTATTTTATTTTTAAACACATCTGCAGTGATTTATTTTTCTCTGTGCAGACAATTTTGGGAATATCGCCGGCTCAAGTTCCTCTTTTTTGCCATCTGCCCCATTGGCCTCACCTTAATTGCCCTCTGATTTGCTGTTAGCAGCGCCACCTTCCGCCGAAAGTGTGGACCACCAACTGTTGCCGGAGAAGGTAAAAAAAAAGCAAAGAAGAGATTAAATAAAATATAAGCCCTTTAAGAGCCGCAGATTGAGATAAAGTAGGAGAATTGGCCGTCGAGAGGTCAATGCTGTCGGGACAGCAGCTGTTCTCCATCTCTCCTCTTTCTTCGCACCCACAATTCTTCCCGTTTTGGTAGAAATCTGCAGTCTTTCTTCGTTTAATGCCGGAATGCCAAAGGGCTGCGAGGAGCGACATATGGTCCGCTTCAGCGTTTGCAGAGCAATTTGGTTAAAACTCTAAAACTTTGATTTGACAAAACGAAGGGAGTCCCATGGGAACCAAAACTGAACCGAAATAGTCAGCACACAGCAGGGAATGCTGCTTATATGAAATACATTAAAATGGAACATTACAACAATAATTCATAAATTGAAACTAGATTTTATGATGGTAATTCCCCTAAATTACATTGAAAACTGTGGAATTCTCAATTGATAAGACATTTACAAATATAATGTTTTTGGGAACATTAAAACTATAACAAAATTTGAATAAAAATGAAATTTTAGAAACTTAAAGATTATATTTTTTATTTATAGCTTTGATTTATAGTTTTATCTTAATTTGTCTGTTTTTTTTTATTTTTTATAGATTTGAGCCTGGTTAATATTATATTATATTAAAAATCTTGCGCTGTGGGAGCCATTTACTAGGTGCGACTTGTTAATCAATCGACTGCATGATGGCCTGATTCTAAGATTCTCCATAATTGAATCGATACACAGACGGCGCGATCCATGAGATACGAAGATCCAAAGATAGCTGCAATGAAGATGGACTGCTGGATGGGAAGATTTCGGCACTGGAGACATGCGAAGACCAAAATAAACAAGTTTCGGGTGGAAATTTATGGCACGATTGCTGCGAACGCAATTTAAACTACGCGTGTGAGGGCGGCACAGCCGGAAAATCGGAAAACCCGTGGGGGGAGGGGGAGGTGGTGATGAAGTGTCGGCTCTCTTCCAATTTTCCGCTCTCTCTCTTCGCGCCTATTTCTTCTTTCTGCCTTCTTGTCTTTTCCAAGGGGGACATTTTCCGAGCTCCGCTGATTTTCTACGGTTCCCCAAGTAATTGTCGTGTAATTTATGGCCGCCGTATGGGAATATCAATGCAATACGCTCTAAATTTACACAAAAACGTAGAGATAAAGGGAGCACTGGATAGTTAGGGTAGGGTGTTGTCTCTACTTGACTCCTACGTTTGAGTTTGAGCATAGTTGGAAATTGTTTATAAACACCCCAGCAAACAATAACAAAAAGGCTTTTTCGATAAGAAAGATCACGGAGAGATCCCATAAATTCCAGCAGCGATATTTTGTAGATTGAAACACGAATTAAAATCCTTAAATATTTCATAAAGTTTCTTATCTCGAAACGAGTTTCTTAACCCAACGACAAAATTTGTGTTGAGCTAATTTGTATATTGTATATAAATATATTGTCCCTTGGGCTAGTTTTATATATTTGGTTTATTTTTAGCGCAAATAAAACCAAAGATGCCTTTAAAATCCCTTTTGAAGACAGAATCAATTTCCATGGCACGGCATCAAATCAAATCAAAATGCGATATCTTCCGCCCTGTTTTTCCCCAGCTTTTAGTTGACAGTTTTGGCTGCTCATTAAGGTGGGGGGAAATGGGCGGAAAAGCGAAAGAAAAGCTGGGGGGAAGTGTCGCCCTGGCAACTGCAGATGCAGACGTTCATTGCCATTCCCATTTGGATTTTCCATCATTGTTGCCAGGCAGCTAAATATAAGCACTCAGACGTGTAAGTTACAAGTCCCCTACCTCCGATCCGAAGTCCATATAGCCCCTCCCTTCCTTTTCCACTCCCATTTTCCATCTCCCGGACAGCTGTACTTTGGCACGCTTCTCGGTTCCCGATTCTCCGGGATTCTGGGATTCTGGGATTCAAGGGCAGAAAGACACCGCCAATCTCCAGAAGCCTCGTCCTTCCCCCGGGATTCTCGCAGACTCCTCGAACTATTTTTGAACGTCCGGCCGTTTTGTTTTCTTTATTTTTTGCACTGCGCCGTGTTCCCCTGGAAATTCCCGTGTTTTGTGGCTCCTTTTTTCGGAACGAATACCCTGGAAAATCGGGGGATTATCGACCGACTCTATAGGTTCGACTTGGGATTTTCTATAAAATATTTCCATACCTTAAAAATAATTAATAGTAATAAATAATTACCAGCAATAATTATTATATTTTTTTTAATGAAAATCTAATTTCAAGGGGAATCCTTTTTATCGAGTTTTTTCTCGCTCTAATCCCCGTTTTTATGCCCCACCATCCCCCTCAGTACAGAGGCCAATGCCAGCGTCTCTTTTTATGTGTGTTTACTGTGAAATTTATTTTTAATTTCAACGACGCGACCTGCACCCCGCCTCCTCCACCCTCTAGCCTTATTTTCCCTTTTTTTCCGCCTGACTGTAAAAAGAAGCCGTGGAAAGGGAAAACATTTAAACAGGATGCAGCATTTCCAGGCGGGGCCTTTCGAAGGAAAAAGGGGGGAAAATGTCCCACCCAAGTCATGCTGAAATTGCTTAAAAATTGCCAGACAGTGCAAATATGTTCCAGCCAAAAAAAGGGGGACAGGGGATGCTGACTCAAAGTCCCCCCTTTGAACCGCCCCTGAAGTTGACAGCAGCGGCAGCAACAAATAGTTTTCAGCCCTCCAAAAAAATAAAGAGGAGAAATAAAGCGAAATAAAAATATAACAAAATGCAAAGCGAAAGGGATCAAGACCCCCCGTACCCCTCCCTGCAGGGCAACCCCCGCCCATGGCTGTCAGTCTGGGGCGCATTAAAATGCAGAATGAGGAGCATTTCATTTGCCGCCGTCGCCTGGCGAAATTCAAAATCAGCAAATTACGTGCTGGGCCAGAATGTAACTAACACTTTGCCAGTAAAGCCCCCCTGCTCAATTTCCCCGCCCCCGTCCCTGCCATTGCCCATTTTCCATTTTCCCAACCCCCTTAGCGCGCCTAAGACGACATGTAATTATCGTTCAAAGGGATAGTTCGCAGGGGGTGACAAAAAAATAAGTTTCTCTGAATGGGGGCCAAAAGTAAATAAGCCAAAGGTTACGCAGTCACAGTGACTGGCAAATTGAAGACTACATTTAAAAATTTTAAAATACCTAAAAACTTTAATAAATAAATATAAAGAAATGAGGGAGAAAATGTAATTTTGTTTTGATTTTTATTTAAAAAATATATTTTTATTATAATTAATTATATTGAATAATATTTTTAGTTAAATTAAAATAAAATATCTACTATAATATTTAGGGTACCATTTTCACAATTCACCGTTTTTTTTTTTTAATTTTAGCCTGTAACTTAAGAAGTATATCTTACCGACCAGACGAAATCCCACCCTTTGCATCAGTTAATTGGGAAATGGTCTTAATAAGGCCGGCTGAAAAGCGACTTCTTCGATTCCTGGGGGTCATTGGCAACAGCTGTTGGTGGAAATGGCCCCCCTGTTTCTTAGCCCCCCTCTCGCGATGAAGTCTTAGAGTTTTCTTCGCGAAAATTGAGGGAGGAAAACGGATGATGGGGAATTTTTGTCCCGTCCATTGGCCTCACGTACGAGTGGGTTTTTATTTTCCCCAAGTTCATTTAAATTTCCACCGCCTGTCCATCTGTCCGAGCCTCTAAACCAACTCGTTGCCGATTACTTTCGCTGTCTAAATTATTTGCGAAAAAAAAGTGGGGGCCAAACACTCGGAGCTGACAAACCAAAGTTGTAATACCCTAAAATAAATTTATTTGTATTTTAAACAATTTTAAGCTTGGAAGAAAAATTAAGAAGTAAATATATTAGGGATATTACAAATATTTTGGTTAAAAACACTTCAAAGAAAATAGCAATTAAAACATAAGTATGAATTTTTCTAGTAATACTAAAAACCTTTAGAAAAATGTATCTCTTGAACAAACCTTTTGTAAAATCCATGGCAACCTCTGAAAAAAAGAGCTCAAAAAGAGTTGGCAAATAAGTGGGGGAAAAATACGGTTTTGGGTGTTGGGAGCGACAGGCGGCTCAAGGTGAATGGCGCAACGGTAATTAGTTAAAAAGCAGCTGCCTGTGAATGCGACTGCGACTCGATGAGTCGTGACAGCACTGAGAAAAAAAACCCCGAATTTGAAATTCTCAACCACTAAATGATGTGCTTAATAAATGTTGAATTACAAATAAATTCTAATATATTAAGAAAAATAATATTGAATAATGTTATGAACAATACATTATGATTCAATAATTCGTTATTAAATTTTAAGCTGTTAATATTTTTTAAAACTATAAATATATGTGAATAAATCTCCAAAGAAGTAAAAAATTTAACTTATATTAACTTTACAGTTTAGTTTTACCTTACAAAAGAAATACATTATTATTTATGTTACCTATAAATTTATACACAAAATTAAGTTAGGGTTCGTCAGAAAATATTAAAAAATTTAAATAAATCAAATGTGTACTAAATTCAACTAATTTTTTCAATTACATTTTTGTTTGATTTCTCGCAGTGTAGCTAAAGGCTCGACCGCCTTTGGAGGATTCCAATTGGTGGTGGGAATGGGCGGGG